AATAAAATATGATTCTCGTATTTAAAGATAATGATTTTAATTCTAATAAATATTATCTTGATCGAGCTTTACATATATAATTTTTTTTTTAGTGTGATTTATCAATGTAATGTAAATTCCAGACTATCACATAAGAATGATATTTATCAAATACATATTATTAAACAGTGGTTACAGATTTTTCTCGTCATTCAAATCTGATTCATGATTTTGGAATATTGATGGAGAGATATGTTGTACAATTGCTTATAGATTACAGTAAATGATAGCATATGATCATGACTTGGATTTTTGGATTATATTGGCTAATTGGAGATAGTGAAACTTAATCTTTTTGAAACATCAATTATAAGCACAGTAAAAGATGTATACTCTTGCTATGCAATATATACTAATTGTATACTCTCGAATAAAGAGATCCATTGAATCAAGTGGGCAGTTCATAATTTCTTTTTGATAAATTGACTTCATTTCTTTGGATATATTTTATTTTGAAGCATGCAAAAAGCTAACTATGGTTAAGTTAAGCTTCATATTATTATTATTATTATTATTATTATTATTATTATTAAATTAAATTAAATTGCAGTTGTTGTAAAAGCATTCAAAGCAGTAAACTCAAATTTGAGGTTTTTATCAGCTTAATCAGGAAAAACAAAATGATATATGGGGTGGCGACCACCGGGCCCGCCACTTATTTTTTATTTTTATTTTTTACTTTTCAAAAAGTGGGGTAAAGACACACTTTAACATTAATACAAGAATTAATCTTACCAAAAAAAATTAATACAAGAACTAATTCTATTTTCATCACCCCAAATGCTTTGTCGGGTCAGAGTGTGAAAGCCCTTAGAGTTGGAATTTAGCCTTTTTGAAGAAGAATTAATTCTATTTTTACTAAATTTATATGTGGTAATTCGTTTTTATTTTTTTTCTTAGAACACTCTCCTTTAGTCGTAATAGTATTTTTGGTCCTCTATTAATAAAAATATTTAAATTCTGTAAAGAGAAAATGACACTTTTTACCCCTGAGTTATATACTTATAGCACTCCCCCCTCCCCCCCCCCCCTCAATTATTTAGGTAAGCACATTAGCCCCCTCAATTATTCTAAAAGTGGTGCTTTTTTCCCCTGATATATTAAATTGACATTTATACCCTTAAAGTAAACATTTTATTTATTTTATTAATCTAACAAATTATTGCGTATACGTAGGGATGACCACGGTTCGGTTTGAATTGAACCGGATACTAAAGCAATCGAATTAATAGTTTACGGTTATAATTCAGATCTATAACCCAATATTTAAATGTCAATTTATTAAAATTATGTATCAAAAAAATTGAATCTTGAACCGTGAACCGGCGGTTCCGGATCTGATTCGCGATTTTGAACCGTCTTTATTTTAAAATTTTATTTTTTATTTTAAAATAGTCTAAATTCAACAATAAATGTATTTTATTTTTTCAGTTCGGAACATGAACCGTCCGTTTCGATTCACGATTTTAATAAACTCTAAATATCGAATTTCGATTCTAAATTGTAATTGGATTATTTCAGTTTGGTTGCTATAGTGTTTGTTTAGTTTGAACCAAATTATGGTCATAATTTGTTGGAAAAAAAATAAATTAAATATTTAGTTTAAGGGTAAATATGTCCATTTAACATTTCAGGGGAAAAACAGACACTTCAATAATTTAGGGGGAAAAAATGCTATAGGTATATAACTCAGGAGAAAAAGTGTCATTTTCCCTTCTGTAAAATACAAGAATATTTAGGTCATTAATTATTATTTTTTAAATAAAAAAATAAATATAACGAGTCCACTCACTTTGTATAAAAAATATATATCAAAATATCATTATATTTAACGACATTTCAACAATTTTGTTGATGGAGGACCAAAAATGATCATGTCACAATAATACTATGACCAAAGGCGAATGTTCTAAAAAAAAAGACTAACAGTGAACTATCACCTATAAATTAAATTTAAGATCAAAAATAGAATTAACTCTTAATACAATAATATTTTCTCTCATCCAAGCAAGTAAAAATTCTAGAAAAACTCACAAAAATCTCCTCTCATGGATGCTCTAACTGCCGTATGAAAAGTGTCTCTTTTTTTCTTTTCTTTTAAAATTTAACAATTTAATACCAATTTTTTATTTTTATTTTGTGACAAGCTAGTATGTCTAATTATATTATTTCAGTACCCAAAAAAATTCTTATTCAACTTGATTCTAATGAGTTGCTTATATTATTCAAATAAAATGATATATTACAAAATACAAAAATTGGATAAAGTTTAGATATATTTATAATAGAGTAGTTTTTTTTTTTAATTTAAAAAACACTCCAATACTCCATAATTAAAATATAAAATGTATTTGACTTGTGTAATTCATGATCATCTAACGCTAGTATAGATACAAGAAATCAAACTATTATACATGAATGAAGTTTACTCATTGGATATATTTAAATAATAATTACGGAATTTGTGAGTTTTTCTCGCCACTCAAAATAAAGCATAAAATGTTATTTTAAACATTTCTATTTGAAGTAAAACTAACTTGTAGAAGAAACAAAATATTGTTTTTCCTTTATGCACAAATAGAATTAGGAAGCTTCCCATTGCATAAATTATTAAGAATATTTTTACGCGATTTCATTATAGATCCAAAAGATTCCCCCTAATTATTGTTTTAAGAGATTTTTTTATGAAATTTATTGTCAGGAAGGGAAGTCTAATTTATCGCCACAAGTGCACGTCAGAAACACTTGACGCTTAAAAATAATTTTTCTTTTTTTTTTTTTCCTCTATCTATTTGTTCTATTTGACATTTTAAAATTTGTAAAAATTTAAAATTTTATGATTTCTAAATTAACTTGGTCAACTTGATTGGGGTAATATCGAAGAATTTTCTCAAAATTAAAATGTCAATAGTTAATTTTATTGTTTCATAAACGGTGTCAAGTTTAACAGTGTAACTATGTAAATTTCCGCTTTCTATAACTTTAGGCTTATCTTTAGTGCCGGTAAGGCGGTAAACATTACGACCGGAAGTGGGCCATCCCACCTAACCCCATGCTCCCCTTATCCTATTGTCTTTAGAATAATTATTAAAACAAATTATTATCAATTAATTCATTAATAATAAAAATTATGGAATCGGCGAGTTCACGTTCATTCCACGACTTGAGGTCCGCGTGATACTGATGATGAAGGCGGCCTATTTTAAGGTGGGTAGGCGCGCATGTTATCCTCCCGGTGCGATGTCGGACACATGGCAGCGGATCGAGGGGTTATAGAGAAATATGCAATTACGACACGAGCTTAATTCATTGATTTAATAAACGATATGTAAGTGATGAGAATAAATATTGTATGGTGCTTATGGATTTCCGAGTTTGGAATATTGACCCATTGTATGTTATTTTTATCACGTGATTCTTTTTTATCGCTTTATTTTATTTTGACTAGAATCAGCGATCATTAAATTATACTCTGTATTTGCTAAATTTCTCATATACCCCATATTTTTGGTGATAATTTCATATGTATCCCTAATTTTAGGTGGATAAGTTTGATGTCAATGAGATCTATCAACTGCCATTAAGATCACTAATCACATCGATGTTCTTTACCCACAATACGTAAAATTCTCATGTCATAAGGTTCTTATAACCAGACCTAACAAGATAGTGGATGAGTAAATCACAAATTCAACGGTCCATTAAGTGGAATGATCTATAGTTTGTACTACATCGATGTTCTTTCTAGAGGTCTTAGATATGTCTCTCTCTGTGTGTGGATTTTTTTGTACCCTCAAAATATTTATTGTGAATCAATTGACATGCATAATCAAAATAACTCAAGTTGTCAACCAATTAACGTTTACTCTTGCTCAAGTGGTATATCAATAAATGTAATTGTGGAACTTTAATCAGTTAGTGGTGAGCGAAGACTTCTTATGCACAAAAGTGTACACAAGACAATTCAAGATAGATTAATGAGAGCCAAGATATAATATAGAGAAGCTGAAAACATAGTTTATATAAGGTAATTCTACATGTAATCTCAAATTAAACTTTCATTTGCACTCCTTATGACATGACATGCCTTGATTGCTTAATTTAGTAGGGGAATATGATGTTTATCTTTTTTTTTTTTTTTTAATTAAATTTGAACATAAATGAAGTAAAAATTAAGAGTATAGTCTTGAGACGACATCTAGTATTTTTGAGTTATATATATGTGTGCGCGCATGTAATTGACACTATTGTGAATGGATCAGTTAAAATGAATTGAAGCAAATAATATAATCCACCAAGGATGAGGTTAGCTCAAGGTAGGACCCACACGCAACTTGAGATTTGATTTTTATGCCAAAAAAAAAAAATAATAATAATAAAATAAAGCGGGACATAATAGTAATTGGGAGTCAAAGCACGTGTTGAATGCTAGAAATAAATAATTAAGGAATTGTTGTTGGCTTTCCACTATTGACCGCCTTGTACACTAATTCAAAATCTATTAATTTATTTGAAGTGGTTGGGATTAGTGGGGTGCAACAATAATTATTCAAAAAACCCAATCTCAATTACACCATTTGTCTTACCTAATTACACCCTGTCCTTAAAATTATATTTAATTATTACTATTCAATTTGATTGCACAACATGTTTCAAAACAAAATAAGGTTACATACCATCTTATAAAAATCTCTTTTTTACACATAAAGATAGCAGATATTTTTCATATTTCTTTCTTATGAACAAACAATAATAGGTGTGATTTAACCAAGAATTGTGCATGACCAAGATGTTTGAGCAAGCTATTAGATAACCCTTTCCCTAGTGACGAAGAAAACTCAGAACTTGCCGTCACTACCCGATGGTGTGTTTAAGTAAACTCAATAGCTCTCTTTTAATCTAAACTAAGAAAATCTTTAATCGGTTGAACTTTATCATCTTTGCAAATTGAAGGAGTATTATAAGTCAAGAACACTATATATATATCGTTTCATAGAATGTGTGGAAATGTTTTGAATACATTAGCTGAAATTTAGCTGTACATGGAAAGAATGAAAGCTGAGAAGTAACTTTAAAGGGAGAAAAGGTCATAAAAACAAAAAAGGCAACTGGGAAACTGAGATACTCAAAAGCTATAATCTATGTCTGATGCATTCTGGGCATCAGATTGTTTGATCAAGTGTCCTTGTTCGTCGTATAAATCGAGGTTCTCACAGGGTGCAGGGAAGACGGTACCTATAACGCGCCCTTGAACATATGCGCACTGGAATATGTGCTTCTTCTTGTACGTTATCCCCACTGACATGTCTTGGAAAGTGACATTCCACACCGGGATTTCTTCACTGCCCTGGAGACGAACAGGCACTCGTACTCCCTCCCCATGGATCGACGTGTAGCTTATGTCCTCGAGTATGGGGACAGCTTTTGGATCAAATTGGCCATCTGGGTGTTCATTGTAATCCGTCTTGATGACAATTCCAACCCGGACATCTTCAAAGGTTAGATTGCGGTATGTTACATCTCTAACGTATCCTCCTCTCCCCGGGGCTGTCTTGATGCGAACCGCACGCCTTGAGCTCCACACGTGGACGTTCTCAACAGTAATGTTTGATACTCCACCAGACATCTCACTTCCTATTGATACACCAGCGCTGTCATGTATAGTTCAGTGTAGTTAGGTTAAAATTGCAACATTTTTCCATAGGAAAAGTGGTATCCACCTATGTAATTGGCCACAAGTAGAAAGATATTGGCCCTGTTTGGTAAAATGGCTGTTAGCTGATAGTTGTTAGCTGATAGCTGCTTGTGTTAATTAAAGGGTATAAATAGTTGATAACATTAGCTGATAGTAGAAAAGTGTTTGGTAAATTAGCTGTTAGCTGATAGCTGTTTGGTATAATTTCTTTTCTCAAAAAGCTAATTGAAACAGAACAATCGGGAATGAAGCGCTCACCTGACCATGGAACGAACTACAAGGTTCCGTATGAGTATATTTTTGGAAGGCCGTCCGTATGCTATCCCATATTGGTCCCAACCGCTCTTTATTGCAATGCCATCATCACCAACACTTATGTAACAGTTTTCAATCAGCATATCTTCACATGAATCTATTTAGTTGATGACAACCGTATTAGCAGCTTATATATCGACAAAACTCCATAGAAACAAATAATTTCTAAATAGAAAAGTTTCTATAAGTTCAAATGTAAGCAGCAGAAAATCAATAATCTTGTGTTAACAAATTAACAGAGAAAGGATATAAGGTTGACAATGTCCGGTTAGACATGTCAGCTCCAAAATATATTGTTGCTTGGTTTCTTGCCCGCAAAAGGCCAAATTTCCTCGCCCCAGGGCCTTCACACCCCGGCCCAACAGGATAGTGGATTTGCTTGGTTTCTTCTTCCAACACAACCACATGATATAACTCACCCGAAAGTTAAAACTGTTAATTTAACTAGAGAAACAAGAAATAAAAATGATCTTTAGTTTTCAAAAAAAAGATGATCTTTAGGAACATGTTTGGCCTAGATTGAGCCATTGAAGCCTGGAGCGGAACTTCTTGAAAATGAGCTTTTTTTCCTGAAATACTTTGAATTCTGGAATTCATGTTTAATATTGAAATAATCATAGCTTAAAATATAGACAACAGTATAAACACTCACCAGGATCTATGCCATCAGTATTTGGAGCCTCATGAACGGGTGCTAGGATTGTCACATCTCGGACTATAACGTTCTTGCAATCATAAGGATGGAAGGTCCAAAAGGGAGAATCACGCAATGTTACGTTATAGACCAGAATATCACTAGACCACATTATCTGTACAAGCGGTCCCCTGGTGTAGTTAAGAAGCTTCTGCCGATACTTCTTCCACCATGTTTGACCCTGCCCATTTATGGTACCATTGTGACCTGTTATCACAAGAGGTGTATATGAATCAAAACAGGTCGGTGACCAGTTGCAAAGCAACAGAAATTTAACTAGCCTTTACTCTCTTGACAATCCGTCTTCTTCTACTGGAGACAGTCTATTTATGAAGCAAGCCAACAAAGCAAATATAATTTTTATTTGCCAAAAACTCTTAAAGTTTGCAGTAAGTTTGCATTTGTTTGAAGGATTATCATGAATTATCAAAGTGCGTCATTCAGGATTTCCTGGGGCGGAGGCAGCTGAGGAGAACTGCTACTCGATCAATTATCAATTATGTCTTCAAGATTAACTAACACTCATGATTAAAATAAATATTAATTTGTTAAACAACTCCAAGGAAAGTGGAAAACAAATATGAAATTCATCTCTGATCTTAAAAAATAATGAATACAAAGTGAAAATGCAAGATTAAGAATTTGGGGAATGTTACTTTGCCAGAATTATAACATGCTAGAAAGTGACTGAGAAAGTTCCACAGAAGGATTCAGTGACAAAATCTGACCTGTTATTACAACATCTTTGAGATGTTGACCATGGATTAGACTTCCATAGCGTGGTCCAGGATGCTCTCTCCCATACCCATAGGAAGGCAATGGAGGCATGAGAGGCCAGTACTTCTCATCCTGTTGAGTACAATAATAAGGATGGACTTAGTTATCAGAAAAGCTGTGACTCCAAAATGGACTGTAAATCTCTCCAGCCATTCTGATTATTGGGTAATCCTTCTCCAAAGGCCATGGGACTTGGAGATTACAATGAATGCATTATAATGACAATTAATGAAAAGAAGATACCATCTCCCCTAAACACAGCAAATAATAGTATTACAAATACCAATTCTTGGTACACTTCCGTTGTAAAATTAAATAGAAAGTTCTATTATTACTTATTTAATAGTATCGACTCCAGTTTTAGAAAGAAACATTTCTGGTCCTATTCCACTACAGAAAACAATTAACTATTCCTCCCCCCCCACCTACTCGGTTACTCCTAGAAGTTGGGATAAAGTTGAAGAGGATGGATTATATTACAATCTTAATGATAAAATAGTGAAGAGCTATTATTAATTCCTTCACTAGATGACCTTGAACCAAACAAGCAATTAATGTAAGATTGTCAAACAGAAAACTCTGATGGTTTGGCTTGTAGTCAAACAAAGGAGACCATGCACTTTAAACCCTTCAAAGACAACACTTCCTGAATTGGTTCCAATAGTATGGAGAGAGAATGGTTTGAGAAGATGAAGGTAAAAGAAGAAACAGAGGAACTTTACCTAGAAGCTTCAGAATTGTTTACCACTCAGTTTTTAATGTGAAAAGTGCAGCAGAGAGACGATGCTTTGCCGTGCTTTAAAGCACAAAGTGAAGTTGTCACCTCTGAATGAGAAGTGATGCAAACATCAAATTTTATGATTCAATATAACATGTAACTGGTTTGTACGGCAATTTCTAAGACAAATAGTACAAGTAATATCATCATTTTATAGTAATATAAAGTATAAACATATTACCTTTTCAATCATTAATATTATTGGAAAATTTCTTAAAATAAATTTCATCATCTTCATCATCTTTCTCTTCATTCTTATTAATACGTTTATATGCTCCAACTATTCCTTTCCCTTTTGAACACATTATCTAAACACAAATTAAAAATATAGAGTATTTATTAATTAAGATTTACTTTTAGGAAAAAAAGGATTAGAAGGTCTCTGATTAGTGCCCAGAGAGAGAGAGAGAGGAGTATATGAGAGAAAGCATGCTTAAAGAGGAAGAGTTGAGATGGCATTATTATCATCTTCTTCTTCCCCCACTGGCATTGGCTTCTTCTTCCCCCGCCCACCAAAAAAGGGGAGTAATAAGTGATTCAGGAAAAGAAGAAGAAAAGCATAATTGAGAGATCAGTGAAGGATGAGGCGGTTCAGCCAAACTGTGAACATGTTTAGCAGCCAAAAAGTTTAATTGGAGGTCATTCCTGAGCTTTACTGTGTCATTGCAGCTAAGGTGTTTTAACCCTCAATTTCATCTGTTGACTGTGTTGTTCTCACCTAATATTCAAAACCGTGGTTAGGGTTGCGCTTTTCATGTTGCTCGCTTCGGTCCACTTTAGTACATTTCAGCACTTTGCTGAAGTGGAGCACAATCGGTTGCTTTTGACAAGTGAGTTACCACTAGCATTCAATCAAGCTCTCTTCTTACTCGTGAGACAAGTCCAACAAACTATAACTAATTTCCAAATTCCCAAAGTCCCAGCACAAGTTAGAGGGCCTCTAACTTGACAGAAATTATAGTATTGATCCATGATAGGTCGTTCAGACTTCAGAGATCTTAAATTAAGTATCCCCAAAATGGATAACAAATTGGCTACTGAAGTTGTAAACTTGAGCCATTATCTGCATGTTTACAAGTGTCTAAGCATCCCCCTAATTGAATTTCAAAAGAAGACTTCATAAATTACTCTTAAATCCTTCCCCCATATAGCACATATCTTTGTTAAATCATCCAGCGTTGTGCTTCTACACTCTTAACGTTTTACTAGATCTAGATCTTGCAAATATCAATACCACCTAGTTGGGAAGAACAATTGTATCAAGTTATAGAATTTGGTCACTAAAACATAGTCTGGTAGTCCGATGTGGGATTCAGTAAAAACATGAAAAGAAAAAGAAAATAATGCACCAATATCCACATAAACAACTAGAAATGGAAATCCAGTAGCTTCCTCATTTAACTTCACAAATCAAAGTCCCAAGAGTCAAGACAACAATCCACTTACCTTATCAAAACAGATCAAATAGTGTTTAAGTCTATAAACAGGTTTTAGGCCAACACAGCCTTCATCCATCCATAACACATCCAAGGAAATGCTAAAAGTCCACATACAATGAGCAATAAATTTCAAATTTTAGCTGATAAATGACTCATACTGCTCATTGGGGACTTGAAATACACTAATGCAGTCCATCATTCTCAAATCAAGGGAATAAATATAAATCTTTATGTTGGAATCTATCTATAATAAGTAAAATGAGCATAAATCTCTAAGAAAAATGGATACTCACATCAATGCCAAGTATAACAGCACCCTCGGCCAGGAAGAGAGTCATATGGCTGGTGAGATTAAACGGAGCGGTAAGCCAAAACCCAGGAGGCACATTAAGCTGTCCACCACCCTTCTTATCGAGCTTGGAGATAGCGAGAATAGCCCTATTAAACGCCGCCGTATTGAGCGTAACCCCATCCCCGATCCCCCCAAAGTCCGTCAAGTTAAACGCCACAGGCCGGAGCCTGGGCAGCTGCCTCACGGGGAAGGCCCGCGTGAAAAGCAAGATTCTATCAGCACTATCCCACTGCCAGAAAAACACAGTGAAGCAGAAGGCGATCCAGAGAAGAGCGAGAAGGGTTTTGTGGGCGGAGAAGAACGTAGGGATCCCGCGGCGCCACCGCCCCGGAAACGACGTCGTCGCCAGCGTCTCCACCATCTCTCCGCGACGCGATTCAGCGATGCCGTCAGCTGGGTGCTGCCGAGAACAAAGCGCTTATCTCCGAGCACATGGATTAATCTATAGTGAGGGCAACGATGAGCTTAAAGATGAGTGTGGGGAAATGGAAGGTCAAGTGTAGAGGTCAGAAGCAGTAAGTTGGTGAGGAAAACGGCGATGGGGTAACAGAGAAGACGAGGAAGAGTAGGTTCAAAGGAATGAAGGAGATGCAGAAGATTAGAGGCAGTACAAAACCGAAAATGGATTTTGATTTGATGGCTCCAGATCCATAACCATAAGTCCATAAATCATAATCAAATTCTTGGTTCTTTCTATTTTTGGTCTAATCAAATCAAACCCAGCAACAAGCTACAAGCCAATAGCTTGGGCTTTACGGTGATTTGGATTTGGTGAGCAGTTAATCCCTTTACGAACTGCTAACTTCATAGCAATATTCGTAAGAGTAATTCGAATTCGATTCTAATTGAATTTGTATAATTTGATTTTTGCTTCAAAAACAAAAATAGTCTATAATTAATTTATAGAATTAATTCCAGTAATGGTCCTTCGACTATGTTGATTTTCCACAATTGGTCCCCGATTTTTAATTTAGACGATTTAGACACTTGACTTTCGAAATCTTTCCAATGTTGGTCCTTCCGTCGGTTGAAGGTTAAGTGGATGTTAGTTTGAGGGGTAAAGTAGTCATTCCACAATTATTATTATTTTTAAAGTAATTTTATTCTTTGCTTTTTCTTCTTCTTCTTCTTCTTCTTCGGCATCATCATTACCGGAATCAGAAGTCCTTGAGAAGTTTGCGGACTTGTTCCAATGTCACAAAGAGCACCACAGTGAAGGGTCCCTGGCTTGAAATGGTGGGGATGAAGAGCCCTTGTAAAGAGCCATGGGGCCCTTTGCTTTGATCGTCTTCAAGGCACAGTCAAGGGTGACGGTGTACGGCGACGCCATCCCCGGCTCCACCTTCATGTTCATCATCCTCGTTTTCAGCACGTCCATTTGATTCGATGCCACCGGCACGTCTGCGGGGTTCCCCACGGCAGCTCCGATCCCACCGGTGATAAGCCCAACCCCAATTTTCTTAGACATTGCCATGTAACCCATGTTATTCGTTTTCGGGTCACTCCACTTCTGCTTCATCATGTCGTACAGCTCGGTCGAATAGAGCGTCTGGTGGAGGACGGTTGTAGACACGCCGGAAAACAGCCATCACATCCAGGTTGCTATTTCTTGAAGAAATCTGCAAATCTGGTTCGAAATGCAGGCTTATCTCGACGCCATCCCCGCTCCACCTTCATGTAAGACTGTAAGAGTGTATGTTTCTATTAACTGTTCCAATCTGTGTTATTGACATCATAACAACAAAAATGTGTAAGGAATATGCAAGTTTCAGTTCATAGGTAAAACATAAACTCACAGAAAACATCACATGAAGCCTGTAAACAAAGAAAGATTTCAAGAGATAAACGAACATGAGATTGTGATCATGTAAAAATTGTATCTTTAAGCGAGATTGCTCTTACTCATTACATAATAATGCATAAAAAAATATTTATAATTAAATGAGGGAAAATAATATATATATGAAAATGTAAAGTATGTTACTTCTCAATGGCTTCTTTGAGTTCAGAAGTGGCCTCTTTAGCTTCCTGGAGAGTAGGCGCACTGCCGAAGTGGCCTCTTTAGCTTCTTGAAAATCGATCACCGGTCGAATGATCCTCACACCCACCGCAATGGGTCCCAAGCACGGCGACAGAGGAATAGGAATATGACCAGAATGGGTAGCAGTGGTGTGAAAATCACGGGTCTGAACCATCGTCGCAGATTCGCCCTGGAGCTGCATTTTCACCCGGCAATAATGGAAGCAATCCCTCCCTCAACAAATCCCTTCAAACCCATATTGAACAACCAGAACAAGATTCAAGAACTGAAGAAAAAAAATGGTAGGGAAAGAATGACAGCGAACTCATCAACATCCGCAAAATGGCAGGGAAAGAATCTCAAGGACTTGGTGATGATGATGCCAAAGAAGAAGAAGAAAAAGCAAAGAATAAAATTACTTTAAAAATAAAAATTAATTGTAAAAATAAAAATTAATTGTGAAATGAATACTTTACCCCTCAAACTAACGTCCAGTTAACCTTCAACTGACGGAAGGACCAACATTGGAAATATTTCGAAAGTCAAGTGTCTAAATTGTCCAAATTAAAAGTCGAGTACTAATTATGAAAAATCAACATAATCGGAGGACGATTGCTGAAATTAACTCTTAATTTATATGAATTACTCCAATAATATTTATCAAATTGAGGTCTCATATTCTGGATAGTCATTCAAGAGCCATCTCTATAAAATAAATTTGGAGTTTTTTCATTTTTAATCTCACGATTATGAGACAATTTTCATATTTGATATTTGATTATTTTTTTTATATTTAATTTCATTTCATAATTTTAAATACTTATCATATTTGGTCATTCTCGACCTAATTTTTAGTTACTAATGACTAAAATTCAAACAAATGACTTATTTTGAAGAGTAAATTTGTCGTTTTTAGTCACCCTCCTCAAAAAGTTTAAGAAACAAAAAAAAAAGTAATGAAAAATAACAATTTTACTATTTAAGATAAGTCATTTGAAATTTGATCACATGTGGTTGAAAATTAAGTTAATCTGTTTGGAAATCCCGAAAATGATTTCTGAAAATTATTTTCTGGATTTTTTTATGTTTGGCTAGGCAGAAAATTGAGTGGTCAAAGGAAAATGGGGCAAAGTTTTCAGAAAATGACTTCCCTTTTTTTTGGGAAGTCATTATCCATCTTCTAATTTCACGCTGCTTACTGCTTCAACTTCCTCCGCCTCCTCCCAACATTCAGAAGAGAAAAGTCCACCAACACCTCCTCCTCCAAAAATTCTACAACCACAAAAGCTTCATCAACCAGTTGTGATATTCTTCACTGGTTTTCTCAGCCGGAAACCAATTATGGTTTCCGCATCGGGAACCAGTTCTGGTTTCGGCATCTGAAACCAGTTATGGTTTCCGCATCGAAAACCAGTTCTGGTTTCGGCATCTGAAACCAGTTCTGGTTTCGGCATCTGAAACCAGTTTTTCACTGGTTTTCGTAAACCAGTACTGGTTTCCAATGTTTTTTTTTTTTTTTTTTTTTTTTTTTGGGATTTTCAATGCTAAATTGTTTATTTCTTGAGGAGGATATGGATTGAGAATAGTTTGAGTACTAGAAAGATAGATTGAGAGCAAAGACATTGTGATTAAATACAATCAAAATTTATGTTGCATGAAATTTGAAATAAAAATTGTTATATTCTACATTTTTTGGAAAATGAGCCAAACACAAAAAGATAGTTTTCCATTGTGCAGCCAAACACAGGAAAGGAAAATGTTTTCCAGAAAATGACTCATTTTTCAGAAGTCATTTTCCTGCTTTCCAAACGGACCCTAATTGAAAAATAAGCTTGAAAAGTACAAGGTTATTTATTGGTCTTACTGGTTTGACCCGATCAGTTATGACACATATAAAATGGGTTATATCATTGCGATTCCTAACCCGTGATGGCCACAAAGCGGTTTCAACTAGAGCACACATTCAAGATCATTTTAGTGTAATTTAATTTTCGATAATCTGGTGTGAACTGATTTATAAACTATTACACAAAAAAATATGGTTGAAAAAATCGCTAAGCACTATTCGGTCGTCTGTGTATTTTTTATTTTTAAAGATATGTTTACTTTTTTTTTTTTAATTCTTTTAAGACGTTCTAATAATTATAAACTGTTTAATACTTTAATAATTAATATTAAAATATTAAATATTAACCTAAAAATACATAAAGTTTGAAAATTTATGATTATTTCGTTCAAAACGATGTCGTTTTGAGTGATACATTTAAAAAAATAATAATAATAGTTAATCGGCCGACTAGGCAGTCAACACTTAAGCTTGTGTATATTGGAGCTGCCTGCACAGAGAATGATCTGATTAACCGTATTGGCATGAAGGAAGCCATCAAGAGAATAGAAGAAGTCCAATAGTAGAGAGACTCAGACTCGATGGTTATATGTAAATTATGTTAGATCAGCAGGTTTAGTATGATACACAAACATAAGAAGTTGTCAACTCTCAGCCATCATTCATCATTCATAGGTATAATGACCAATGCCATAATTATTTTTTTCTTTTTTTTTTTCTTTGTTTTCCTCTACAGTGTATTGAATCCAGTCTTCCAAACTGACACTTACATATACAGTTTCTGTTGTATATGATGAATTTTAACAAATCTGTAACACTTAAACCTAATTCCTTTATATGTCAATTTGACTGTGTGAAGTGTTTAGCCTTCATGAACATAACCTCAAAAAACTTCAATTTTGATGCATTTATTTGTTGGAAAAGACATAAGTTCTGTTTGGTAAATAACTGTTAGCTGTTAGCTGATTGGGTTAATTAGGGAGTATAACTAGTTGATAACATTAGCTGATGTGAAAAAGTGTTTGGTAATTAACTGTTAGTTGATGGTTGTTTGGTATAATTTATTTTCTCAGAAAGCTAATTGAAAAAAATAACTTTAAGTAGTTTTTTGAATTTTAACATTTTGGAGTAAAAAAACTAATTAACCAAACAGTAATATTGATTTTTAAACAACTAATAATGGTCAAATAAATCAAAATTGACCTATATGCTAACTATTCTAAAATCAGTTACAAAAAGAACATCAAATATGTAATGACATATCATGAAAATGACTAATCAAGTAACACCACATTAAGATGTAAATATTATAAATTAAAGGGAAAATGGCACTTTTTCCCCCCTGAATTATATGGTTATAGCACATTTCTCTCCTGAGTTGTTCATGTAAGCACATTAGCCCCCTCAATTATTTTAAAAGTGGCAGTTTCTCCCCCCTGATATATAAAATTGACATTTCTACCCTTAAAGAAAACATTTTATTTATTTTTCTTCTCCAACAAATTATTGCTTATACGTAGGGATGATCACAGTTCGATTTGAACTGAACCGGACACTATAGAAATCGAATTGAAAATTTCCGGTTATGACTCAGATCCAGAACCCAATATTTGGATTTCAATTTATTAAAATTATGAATCGAAAAAATTGGATCCTGAACCGTGAACCGACAGTTCCAGGTCCGGTTCGCGATTTTGAACCGTCTTTATTTTAAAATTTTTATTTATTTTTTTATTTTTTAAATAGTCTAAAATCAACAATAAATGTATTTTTTTTTAGTTCGGAACATGAACCGGCCGTTCCGGTTCGTGATTTTAATAAACTCTAAATATAAGGTTTCGATTCTAAATTGTAATTGGAATATTTCAATTTAGTTGCTATAGTGTCTGTTCGGTTTGAACCGAATTGTGGTCATAATTTGTAGGAGAAGAAAAATAAATAAAATATTTTAAGGGTAAAAATGTTCATTTAACATTTCAGTGGGAAAAATAGCCACTTAAATAATTCAAGAAAAAAAAGTGCTATAAGTATATAACATAGGGAGAAAAAATGCTATTTTCCCTAAATTAAATTTAAAAGGGGAGAATAACTAACTAGCGAGACTGATTATTGCGCAGATTTGATGGCAAAGTTTCACGAACTAATATGGTTTTCAAGTTCTTGACGCTCTTCCTTAAGGAATCAAGATATTTCTTATAATTTATTTGAATGACGAGGAAAATTCGCAACCATTAATTAATTATTAGATGATATGCACATGTAAAATCTATTAATACACGATATTTTGTATATCTTAATATGAAAATCCTGTGTGACAGGCTCAACCAATAAGATATTGATAAGAATAAAATCCATAATTATGTTCTACCTTTTTTTAAAGGGAAAATGGTCAAATAGGCCCTCAAACTTTAGCTTAAAAGTCAATTAGGCCCCTAAATTTTTTAAAGGTGCAATTACACCCATCAACAATTCATTTAAGTGCAATGAAGTCCAAAAACAAATTAATGACCTGCTATCACAGGTCATTAGGGTTCAGGCCACCTTCCGACGAATTTTCCGGCAAAAAAAAAAAAAAAAAGTGACCGGTGAAATTTTCGACAAAAGAAGTGACCGGCGAAATTTTCGACAAATCTGGGTCAGTTGCTGGTCACATTTTTTTTGTTGAAAAATTCGCCGGAAGGTGGCCTGAACCCTAATGACCTGTTATAGCAGGTCATTAACTTGTTTTTGGATTTCATTGCACCTAAATGAATTGTTGATGGGTGTAATTGCACCTTTAAAAAGTTTAGGGGCCTAATTGACTTTTAAGCTAAAGTTCGAAGGCCTATTTGACCCTTTTCCCTTTTTAATGTAATAGTTCAAAATTGTTTAGGGACTTTTTTGAATGGTTAAAAATCTGAGGGAGGTGAATGTAATTATTATTGTAGTTATCTCTAATATTTCGAGCCCAAATTTTAGAATATTCCCCATAATGCCCTGAACAATGCTACTCCATATAATACTTAGGTAAACCCAGATATTTATAGAAATTAAAATTGATACCCACAAGTATAATAACTGACTTACCTGCGTCACTAGATACGATCGCCGAAAATGTACCGAACGGCGGCGAAGCGGTTGTTTCCGGCGTTGCGCCGATGCAACGATCAGCTGAAAATCTCTCCCGTTCCAGTTCTCGTAGAGCCCCAACCGCCGCGGTTTTTCAACTCTGCTGCATCTGAGACCATTTCGAATCAAAAGCCTACACTCTCGGGCTCCGCACCGCCGTCTTCGGCGTCATCATCGAGGAGCCAGGAAGAGAGGGATCGCCGCCGCGAAAAGGAGGAGAAGCCGGATTCCGGAACGACTAAAACCAGGCATAGAGCTCACTACCAGGACGAGCAGGCCCGTGTTCTGAGCGCCTCTCTCCCCCATGTGGTACGCATATATCTGCGCGTCTATGTGCTTTTCAATATTACATCGTGTGTTATATGGATGTATGTACGTGCTGGAATGTTGTGCTGTAGCTAAGTATCAATAAGTATGGGGGTTTATATGCTTCGATAAGGACAAATAGTAGCACCGTGCAATTAATCTCTTGCTTCTTTGAATAACTATGGAGTTTGGTGATCATATTCATGATATTATCAAGTGCTCTGGAAAATTTTATGTAAAAATTGAAAATTAAAAATATGACTGCAGAGTATAGGTTTCTAACCAGACTAATAGTGGAAATGCAGAATTGCAGAATTGCAGATAGCCTGCTAAGGCTTGTAGTCCTTGAAAATCCAGCACACTGGATAAGCTTATGAAGTTAATCATGTTTGTTTAATTCAAAACTGTTACATTTTCACTTGATAGTGGGTTGATTTGATTTTACAAATGCAGATAAAATTGGGATGGACTGAAGCAGCCATGATTGCAGGTGCAAGGGAGGTTGGGCTGTCTCCTTCAATTGTTGGATCTTTTCCTAGGAAAGAAGCTGCTCTGGTGGAGGTTATTCACTCTCTTTATGAACTTTTGCATAATAAGATGGGGCCATTGGAGGCACCAAAGAAACAAACAAAGTGCAAAGCATATACAAGGGAGATTAGCATAAACTCCCGCTGTCCACTTTGTGTTTCTAGTGCTTCCCTATGCATGCATGACCTCATTACCACTTGCAAGAATTGCAATTTATTCTTCTGGTTTTCCTGATAACTGAGCTCTAATATTTTTATTACTTGTTGAATTGAGTTATTTAAGCCTTTCTTAACTTTTAACCCATTAATTCTTTTTCCTCTTCAGTTTTTTATGGATGAGTGTTTGGAAAGACTAATTGATATTATTGAATCAAGACTGGATTTAAAAACCATGATACCAAGTGAGCGTGTTGCAGCACTTGTCAGAATTCGCTTAGAATTGCAAGCTCCTTATATCTCAATATGGGCTCAGGCACTGAGTGTACAGGTGCAATTTTATTTACTCTATTGTAGTGTACTGGTGCTATGTACAAAAGTTGATTCTTTTTTATTTGTTTGTATTCTTTTACACACATCTCGCGAAATACCTGTTAAAGATCTTAATAATCGCCGCTTATTTTATAGGCACAACCAGCAAACATTCCAACAAGCTTCAAACAGAGAGCAATGTTGGTTGATGAGATTTGGCATGCAGCTGGTGATGATGCAAGCAATATTGATTGGTATGTGAAGCGCACAGTGCTTGGCGGAATATACTCTACTACTGAGCTTTACATGCTGACTGATCACTCTCCAGGTTTGTTGATATTGCCTCTTATGTTTGTTGATAATCTATTCTTTGTATTCCAGCTTGCCATAAGATCAGTAAAACTTTAGGTACAGTGGCCCCAAAAATGCCCATTATGTCATAGAAAACCTTAAAAAGTGTTCTTCCTACTGTTTTTAGCAACAAGTTGAAGACAATTTCCAATAATTCTGCAGACATGTTTCTGAGACATCTAGGTCACCTGTAACATCGGATGTTCTTTCCTTTATTGCTTCCTTGTTTAGTATTATGGAAATAAACATTTTGCCAATGATACACATGAATGCAGCCTTGTTTTAGTTGATGCCGCTGGTGTGACCTTGTATTAAATTGGCTTTAAAATTTTACCCTTTTATTCTCATTCTTCTTATTACAGATTTTCATGATACATGGGCATTCTTGAATGATCGAATAAAGGATGCTTTTGACCTGAGGAAGACTGCACAGGAGGTAATATAGTGGTATTTTATTTTTTGATCAATTTTGGTTTTTCATTTCCTTTTCTTTGAATCCTTCTGCATGTGCTCCTAGAGCTCTTTTGACAAGATCCCCCATTCTGAAAGTTTGATTTAAGAAAGATTTTTCAACTACTGCAGGCAAAATATTTGGCAGAAGCAGTTGGTGCAGGAATGGGTGGGTCATTACAAGGACTTATTAAGAGTGTTTTCCGAGGTTGAATAGCTTTTGCAATTCAACTTAAAAACGATTTTGCAGTCAATAAAATGTAGGGAGGATCAAAATAGATGTTGTATCTCTGTACTAGGCAGAAATTCATTTGTTACCCAGATTGCTGGTTAATAATCAAGTTCCTGATGGGTTTAGTGCCCAGAAAATTTTGCTTCTTGAAAGTGTTGCAGTCTTGTCAATTTGGATTACCTTCTCAAGCTCAGAAACCAACCTCTGCTTAGTGTTATGACATCCTGACTACTATTTCAAATGAGTGGTCATAGGTTCGAATTCCGGTGGTGGGGTTTTAGATTTTTTAGACTGAAAATATTTAGGAAAGTATAGAACAGATACTACCAGAAAACAAGGTTCCAACCACTTTAAAGTGATGAGAAATTGTGAGACTTCCAGAGGGTCAAACAATTCTATGCAACATCAAGGTAGGAATCTTATTACACTCACTAAACATTATTAATCACAAGTTAGGAGTTTGAACAATAGAGCAATCATCATACTTCCATGATTGGTTGGCAGCAAAAAATACATGGACTTCATTGAAGGTGAGGTTAGACATCATATCCCTGCTCCTGTACAACTAATATGCTCAATCCTTAGAGCCACAGACACTATTACTTCATCAATCAAAATCAAGAAACTCCATTCTCCTTCTCATGCTTCCCTTCAAATCTGCAGCTTCCTTTTCTGCTCTCTGTGCCTGCAGGAGATGACAAATTACTAGCTAGAGTTAAAACGAAAACTCGAAGCAATTATTGATCAGTGAAACCAAAAGATCGAGCAGTGCTACACATCCCTCAAACGCGTATCGCGTTGTGCATGCATGCACAAGCCTTACCCTCCTGATTTCCGTCGCTGAGACGTGAATCATATGCTGTGGAAGCTCCTCCTCTGATGATCCCTACAAATATAGAATTTTATGTCACCTAATATATATATCTCGGTTTATTCTAAACTAACAACTAGATAGTTAAATTACCAGTTCTCCAATCAAGACAACATTTTCTCCACGAACTATGTACAGTCCCAAGGGAATGTCACTGTACAGATTCCCAACAATCACCCTCTCACAAACACCTTCTAACACAACATTTGCTGCATCAATATCATGAAAAAGAAAAACACATCAAAACCTTAATGGGTCACTAAGTCAACATGATTTACTATCACCACAAATCTTGTCGGGCAAGGGGTATGAGAGCACTGGGGCGAGGGATTTCGCCTTTGTGGGCAAGAAAACGAATTTCATAGTTGAATTCAAATACCATATTGATCAAACGACCGGAATGTCCCAAACAGCTTCCTGCCATCTCTCAACAGCACAAGAATTTTTCCTTAAAAATCCCAAGAATAAAGAAACAACTCAATAGTCAGTCAATACACTGCACAGCTAAACAAGAAGCTAAGGATTGAATCAAGAAAGAAATGGAATAATCAAATTAAAGAAAAGAAAGAAGCTAGTATAGAAACCATACTATCAAGATAGCTAGCAATGGAAGAAGAAAGAAATGTGGTGTGATCTGAACCTGACCAAGACATGGAACCATTCCAACTTGTATGGCCAGCTATGCCATCCATTTATATATACCCAACTCCTCAAGAATATTGATAACAATAATTAAATATCAAGAATAGTAATTAATTACTTTTAATTTAGAAAAATAAAATATAAAAAAGTGAGAAAAGACACCTAATAATTTGATTTGCAGTATATACACATAAACAAATCAATAATCAATGCTGGGAAGGTTTGGTTTGGGTGAATAAAACTTAAAATGAAAGTAAGATAAGCAGATGGGTGTGGGTTTCAATTCAAAGGAGAAAAAGAGTTTAACTTTTTATGATGGAAGATAAGAGATGATGGGGTTGAAGATGAAGCTTTTTTTTGGTCGGTGGGTTGGCTGAAAGTTGCGTCTTTTATCACCTAATAAGTCCCATAATTCTCTGCGTCACTGTTGAAATTATAATCATTTATATAATAATAATAATAATAATAATAATAATAATAATATATTGCTTAGCTTCTCAATCATCATATCTATCTTGACATGCATGCTGTCTACTCTAATTTTACACAATTTTATATACTTTAATACCATACAAATATAAAATATATTCCACGGTTACTACTTCATTGAGTCAATTAATTATGATCAATTTAAATTGATTTATTTCTTTGCCTTTTTTATAAACTTGAGTAGACTTTATCCAAAACACACACCTTCATTTAGTTACTATGGACTGTTTTGTAAATTAATTTTTTGACAAATTAATGTATTAAAAGTCAATTGTTGGTGGCTTGATGTTCCCAAATCACAATTAATCTCTGATTTGGGTTGCCTTCTCATCTCTTTCAATGATATTGGTCCTCCACATGAATAGACACATCATTCTTGATAATATATAAAATAATTTATAGCAAAATTTTTGTAATATAATATACACTTTTGAAAATTATATATTGAGGTTTAGTATACGTTACAAAAGTCCAGTTGGTAAAATTATGAGAGGGTTCTGCGGAAATTATGGAGAATTGGGTCACCGATCTTGGACTAATACGTCTTCAAACTTTAAGTTTCAAAATGCATTAAAGTAGGTTAGGAATTCGTTACAAAAGTGACACAACTTATTTAATTTTCAAAATTATTATTAGATACAGGCCGGTATTAAATTATCTGTATCAATATGAATAATTTGTTGAGAGACACGTGTTAATATGAGTAATTTGTTGAGAAGATTATAACTTTATTGTACACCATTTGTTATTTGAGTGATATGAAGAAAACCGATAATTGATGATAAAAGTAGGTATGGTAAAAATCATTCACACATGCTCCATTTTGCATAAGCCTAAAACCGACCAAGATATTATTAAGATTTTGTAGGAACTAAGCTAAGGTTACTAGGTTCCATGAGCTACTAAGAAATTAAAGCAGAAAGAGATGAAGCACAAGTCAATATCTACCATTATGCATGGAGGAAATATAAGTGCCCATTTTTTGGAGTTTATCTCCAATTATTAGAGTGGGTTTCAAATTCCTAAGAATCTAAGATCTTTTCTTTCATTTATTTATTTATTTATTACACTGCTCCTATACTTATTTAGGTGGGCCCCAACCCCAACTTTCAACAAATATATTATCTCAATTAAGAAAAGTCTGTAGTGATGATCTATATGAGTATTGTTCATTTGTTTGTAATAAATATAAGTTAGAAAGCTTTAAAAAAAATACTTTAATTTATATTCACTTTGGAGTTAACCAAAGGGTAAGAGACACTAGTGTTGAGAATTTACCTAAAAATAACATTCTCTTACAATGTTAAATGTGAGAGTTCTTATAAGTAATGACAATATCAAAACGGTCTAAATTTATCAAATTTTAAGTTTTAAATACAGATTTTTAGCCCATTACAACAAACTCGCGGGCTTGGTAGGCCGATGGGAGCCTGCTAAAGTACAATCATTATGCTGTGCATCTGTATGCACCATGCATGGTGCATACGGATGTCAAAACGACGTCGTTTTATTAAAAAATGCGCGTCTCCCCTTTAAAAAAAATTCATGATCGATTCCCAGCAACAACATTATATTGTTCATTCATTCTGGAATTTTAGTTCATAGATTATGAAATTATAGTTCATTGATTATGGAATTATAGTTCATTGATTATGGAATTATAGTTCATCGATTATGGAATTGTAGTTCATTGATTCTGAAATTTTAGTTTATAGATTATGGAATTTTAGTTCATTCATTCTGGAATTTTTAGTTCATAGATTAGATTATGGAATTATAGTTCATCGATTATGGAATTTTAGTTCATATGTTGTTGCTGGGAATCGAACCTGATTTTTTTTTTTTAAGGAGAGACGCGCCTTTTATTAAAACGACGTCGTTTTTGCATCTGTATGCACAACATAATTTGCCGCTAAAGTACTAAATTAAAAAAAATAATATTAAAATAAATAAATGTTACAGTTTTATAAAACAAAATTCTTAAGATAATCTTCCAATTTTCTTATCTTTAGAGTATCTTTATTTAAATTTTATAGTTTAGATTATCTAAAATGATTTTAGCATTTGCATATTTTTTTTTCACAAATTATAAATTTACAAAAATTACAAAGTTATGATTTTGGTGGGCCCCGTCTAACCCGGCAAGCTGGCCTCCCATTACGGTCGTGTTATGGACAGACTTTTTAGATCACTTTGACAGCTCTACTTATAGGATATTTTTTAAATAGATATCTTGAATTTGAACTTTGAGAAGGTGTTACTTTAAACCCCATGAGGGAATGTGTTGTCCTCATTTGCGAAATGAGGTGAAATGAAGCGAAAAGGGCTCTCATTTCAATGAAAATGTCAATGGAAGAGGCTTCACCTCTCTTTTGTATCAAACAATTCCTGAATCTTATTGGCAAGACGATAGAAAATGGATTGACTTGCTTCCATTGCCCTTTCTAAAACCAAAAAGCCCGGCCAGGAGCCGAGAAAATCAAAAACCATCACCGCCCAAGAACACAAAGCAAAGAACCAACGTTTCATCAGAGACTACCAATCCCTGGGAACAGCGCCCCTAGCTGCTTTTCCTTTCCGGGTTGGTGTCTTTGTATTATTATTATTATTATTATTATTATTATTATTATTGCTTCAAAGTTCAAACCACGGCTAGATAATGGGTAATAATGATGTTTCCCCCTTCTTCTTCTTCTCCGCCGTGGTGTTGGTGGTGATTCTACGCTGCCCCTCGCCGTGTGCGGCGGCCGGGGAGACAGAGGCGCTGTTGCGGCTGAAAGAATCCCTGGAGAACACTAGGGCACTGGAGGCTACCTGGAAGAGCGGCACCAATCCGTGCGAAAAGCCCAAGAGATGGTTTGGGATTCAATGCCGTAAGAAGGTTGTGTCCGGGCTCCTCCTTCACGGCCTCGGCCTCGGCGGCGTCATCAACGTGGAGGCCCTGGCCGGCGTTAAGGGGCTAAGGGTGATTGCCGTGGGAAAAAACAACTTCTCCGGCCCAATCCCGGAGTTCAACAAGCTCGGAGCTTTGCGGTCTATTTTCATCCAAGGCAATAAATTTTCCGGGGAGATTTCTGCGGATTACTTCCTGGAACTCACGTCTCTGAAGAAAGTTTGGCTGGCAAACAACAAGTTTAAAGGCAGGATTCCGGGGTCGCTTGAGAAGCTGCCACATTTGATTGAACTTCACCTTGAAGGGAATGAATTCTCCGGCCAAATCCCCACCCTGGATCAGAAAAACCTGGCTGACCTCAACGTGGCTAATAATAAACTCCAGGGAGAAGTCCCGGCGGAAATGAAAAAATTTGGCCCCAAGACATTTGCAGGGAATCCTGGTCTTTGTGGGAAAGCGGTGGGCAAAGAATGCCCTCACCCCGCCCCCCTAAGCCGAACCACCCCGCCCCTAAGCCCAACCACCCCGCCCCTGCCGCCCCCGCTCATGATAAACCTCCTGCTGCTGCTGCTGCTGCTGATGCATCCCCATCGCCGCCACAATCATCTGATCACAAGAACAACTCCAGCATGAAATGGATAATCATAGCAGTAGCGATAGCCCTCCTGATAATCATCATCTTGATCAAGAGGCGGCGCAAAGACGACAATTTTGCTAGGGTGAAGAAGGAGAATCTGGACGAGGTTGTCCCGGTGCACAAGGTCGGCAGCAGCAAGAGGAGCAATAGCGGCGGCAGTGTCAGCAGGCGGGGGCCAGGGTCGGGGTCGGGGTCGGGGTCGGGGCGAAAGGAATCCCAATCCCATCACTCCAGGCGAGGCTCCGGCGGCGTTACGAGGGCAATGGGGGATCTGGTGGTGGTGAACAGCGAGAAGGGGCAATTCGGGCTGCCGGATTTGATGAAGGCCGCCGCTGAAGTTCTTGGCAGTGGTGGATTGGGATCAGCTTACAAGGCTGTGATGGGGAATGGGGTTTCTGTTGTGGTTAAGAGGCTCAAAGAAATCAACACTAAGATCACCAAAGATAACTTTGATGCAGAGATTAAAAAGCTTGGGAAGATAAAACACCCAAACATCTTGACACCATTGGCATACCATTACAGGAAAGAGGAGAAGCTGGTCATCTCCGAGTACATGCCCAAAGGCAGCTTGCTCTATCTGCTCCACGGTACAGTCCAGTCTCACTATCAGTTTAAACTTTCTACAATCTTATTATCACATGCTGGTCTAGTCTCACTATCAGTTTAAACTTTCTGCAATCTTGAAATATCATCACATGCTGGTTCAGTCTCACTATCAGTTTAAACTTTCTGCAATCTTTCAGGTGATCGAGGGATATCCCATGCGGAGTTTAACTGGCCAAAGCGGCTAAAAGTGGTGAAGGGGGTAGCCAATGGGATGGGATTCTTACACAAAGAATTTGCAACATTTGAAGTGCCACATGGGAACCTCAAGTCCAGCAACATTCTTTTCTCAGCAAACAACGAGGCAGTCCTCACGGACTACGCATACCATCCGCTGCTCAACAACACACCAACCGCGCAACAATTGTTCGCTTACAAGGCGCCCGAGGGTATCCAGCACCAGCAAGTCTCCCCAAAGAGCGATGTGTACTGCCTCGGGGTCATCATCCTCGAGATCATCACGGGGAAGTTCCCTTCCCAGTACGTCAACAACCAAAACGGAGGGACCGATGTGGTGCAGTGGGTGAGACAGGCCATTGCAGACAAGAGAGAAAGTGAAGTGATTGATCCAGAGATAGCTGTAGCCAAAAACTCACTACCACAGATGGAGAAGCTTGTGCATATTGGAGGTGCCTGCACAGAGAATGATCTGATTAACCGGATTGACATGAAAGAAGCCATTAAAAGAATACAAGAAGTCCAAGAGTAAAGAGGCTCAGACTCCATTGTTATATGTAAATTATGTTAGATCAGCAGGTTTAGTATATATGATGCACAAACATAAGAAGTTGTCAACTCTCACCCATCATTCATAGGTATAAGGACCAATGTCAGATTTTTTTTTTTTTTCTTTTTTTCTTTGTTTTTCTCTACACTGTATTCAATCCAATCTTCCAAACTGACACTTACATGTACAGATCGATTTTGTTGTATATAATGAATTTTAACAATCTGTAACACTCAAACCAAATTCCTTTAGATGTCAATTTGACTATGCATGTGAAGTGTTTAGCATACAAACATAATTACTTTAGTGGAAGAAACTTGTAATTAGACAAAAAAAAAAAAAAAAAAAAAATTCAAATTGAATTAAGCCATTAAATAATCCTCTAGCTACCACAAAGAGTGCATTTGTAAAGACAATTATGGCAAAACACCAATATTTCAATTATTATGCATCATCACCAGCCAGAAGCATTAATTAGCTTTTCATGATTTTTAATATTTTAAGGCTAATTATTCGCACCAAATAGCCACTTTACAAATCTTACTTCCACCACTACCCAATATTATTTTCCATAAACATACGCAAACCAAGAAGCTAGCTAAGCTCTCCTTCTTCCTCATGCAAATATTATATATATGATTCTACGGAATACTATTAAAAATAATTATCAATCGTATCCAATATAATTATGTATGATATAAATAATTATATTAAGTATTATTAACACTGTATCGATAAGATATTAATCAGTATCATAAAAAATTTATGTTTGTGAGAATTTTTGTCCTGTATCACCTTTTTAAAAAAAATTACTTGCACTTAGTTAGTATGTGTATTTTAATCCCGGACAAGCTCGATTGTAGTTGGCCCTATATTTGATGTATGCTTGATGTTATGTACTATAATTGAAATTGATCATTTAATTTACTATAATTTATAATTTTAATCTATCAAAGAAAAAATTAATATAATTCCTTAATCGTTTGTCAAATGAAATCGGGTTATAGTTTGATTTATCATTCAATTTAAGGTTCAAGTTTAATATACACATTTTGATGTCAATATCAATTTCGATCTAATTTGGGGTATCCATTTTTTTGGTTTAGTAAAAATTAAAAATTCAAATAAAATTAATATTTTCAATTGTAGTTATGAATTTATGTTAACCACTAAAACACATATTTATTTATTTATTTATTTATTTATATTTGCATGATCTCTGGTAAGGATTGCTTCAAGCTAGCCATGCAATCTTTAATTTATATAATAATAATATAATAATAATAATAATAATAATTGGTTTCAATAAAAATTGTTGTATGATTGGACATGCGTTTCTTTAAGATCACTAGCTAGCTTTAGAGATTTGTGTCCTTTTATGCTTTTTTACATGTATGAGCCTATCAATTCTATAGTTAGTTTATTATTGGAGCCATTAGGCATATTATTTAATTTGATTAGTAGTAGTTTAGTAGGGCATTAGGATAACTATTACTCAAAAATAAAATCATGATGATATAATAATGTCACCCTACACATTTAAAAAAATTATATTAAAGTAATTGTACATTGCACGCTTAAATAAATGATGGATGAAAATAATAAAATTATAAGATGAAAATATGTAACTCCTAGTGGATCGGACATTAAAAATAAAGTCAATCAATTCATAATTAGTTAATAAATATAAATGTATAAGTGACATGTATATAAATATTGATATGGTATCTCAAAAAGATTATATATTTTTCAATCAAGGGATTATTTATGTATAATATGTTTCAAAAAAAATTGTAAGTGTCATTATTATGATTTGACAATAAGGAAATGTGGGTATTGATACTAATGTAGGGATTTTGACATTATGACACTTGAATTGTCACATGACAGGGAATATGGGGGGTTGGGGGGGGGGGGCATATCTCCGCCCCGATCTTGATTCTCCACCTTGATCTCCGATCCATTCATGTGACTGTATTTGGGGATATGTTTTCCTTGCAACCGAAGGCAAAATTTCATTAGGGACAAGGATCCCTTGCTTTCAATATTAATTATACATACATAAAAAAATTTTAAGGTATGATAAACATTGGAGTTTCTTGCACTATGTACAACTCAAAAGTGAATGAAAAATGTTTTTAGTATATATTAGATATTTTGAGAACAAAATCTAAAGTTTTCTGCAAAACTTTAAAAATTGTACGGAATATCGACATTAGCATAGACGTTCCTTATAAAATCCAACCCCGAACCTTATCAGAATTACAAAATAGTCCCATTTCACGTTTCCTTCTCCATCGAGATCAAAAATGTCACATCCAGATAAAATAACCATCCTATGTGACACAACATTTGTTTTTTGGTCACGAAATACCATGTGGACATGGTACCCACAACCCATCATGAACATTATATTCTATCTTTACGTGGTGGCAACAAATTAAAATTTCATGTTGCAAGACAAAGAGAACTGCCTCAGTTGTGATCTCTTTATTCATGATAATGCATATATGCTACAATTAATATCAACAGCAAAAACATGAACCATCTCAGACCAATAATACTGTGCTGTAACTTGAATGCAACACAAATTAATTAAACCCAATTCAACCCGGCCCCCACCAATCTTCCACCCTCAGCTTTTTCCCAAAATTGATGAACCAAATTCTTGATGTTTTTACCCAGTTATTGAATCCCAGGCTCTGGAAACCTCGTACAACCATGGCAACAACAATGGTGACTTGTGTGTTTACATGTTGCATTAATTAATTAAATCAATCAGCCATGGCAAAAAAGGTGGTCTTGACTATCACCATATCAGAGTTCAGATGTTGTTGTAACAAGTGTTCCTGTGTAATTTGTGGATGTATCAGATCAGATATCCTCCCCAGCTCTCCCTACTCTAAACTCCTGGAAAAGATGAAGGTGGTGTCAAGCATAATATGTATAAATAATCAACTTTTAGTTCAGACATAATGCATATTTATAGATGAAAAGTTTTGAGTTCGGAGGGGACAATCCCAGCCAAATTGGTAGGCTGTTGACTTAGTACCCACAAGGTTATTCTCAGTGGGAACAACCTATTTATAGTTCTTTGCTGGCTAAGGTCACAAGAAGGCAGGGTTAGTAACTGCTCTGCTATAGTCATTTGTTAGCTAAAGTCACAAGGCGGGATCTATGACTGCAGGCGGGATCAGTCGCCTTGTTGTAGTCCTTTGCTGGCTAAAGTCACAAGGCGGGAACTGTGACTGCAGGCGGGATAAGTCGCCTTGATGTAGTTCTTTGCTGGTTAAAGTTACAAGGTGGGAACTGTAACTGTCCTACGTTGTAGTCCTTTGTCGGCTAAGGTCAGAAGACGGGATAAGTGATTACCCTACTATAATCTTTTGCCAACTAAAGTTACAAAGCTGCCGGGTTTCCTTGTCACTCAAAAGTTTTGCGTTTGGAACGGAATGAGTTGAAATTGAGTGGTTTACCTTGAAATCTCCAAAGGTGGTGAAAGAAGAGGAAAATCAGATCTCCAGAACAATGACTGCAACATCATCATGGTATTTCACAAAATCAGGTTCCATGAAGGAATTAAAACATTAATAACTCAGAAAGTTATATGGTCTTGAAGATGGCTTACAATCAGAATCTGTCTTCACCCATTTGCTGCTTCCCTCACTGGCCTGCTTCCCCACTACTGCTTCATCTTCACTATCATCATCATCAGTATTCTCACATAAATACAAGTTGTTATCCAGATACTTTTTGGTTGCAGCCCTTGGATTGGATGCCTGTGGGTATATCTTTTTGTGCAATATAGCTCTCAGAATCTGCAGACAAGAAAACAGAATATAATGTACCAGGTTCATGCATGCTGCTAAAACATAACCTTAAATTTTTTTTAATGTTCAGACCTTCTCCATTCTTGATTTCTCGAATTTCGTCTCTGCTGGAAACCTTTCCCTGAGAGGGAGAGGAGGGGGAAGGGGAGGAGGAGGAGCGAACCCGCCTCGACAGAGAATCGCCTTCTTGAGGAGGAAAGACAGAGACTTTTTGCTAAAGTGGCTGCTGCTTTTGTCTTCCATTTGAACTTCTTTGCCACGTTTGGTGCTTTCTTCTTTCCCAGAACTCTCAGAAATCATCAGCTCTGTGATGGCTGTTTCTTCATCTTCCTCCATGTTCTGCAGACAGTCAAACAGCTTCTGTAGTGCCACTTTGTCCTTTTCTGATCCATTAACTGAGTGTTTATGCACCAGAAGCTTCAGCTCTTTGCTCAGCTCCCCAACTTCTTCAACTGTCAATTCTTGATCCTGCTGCTGATCTTCACAGGAGGAAGAATAAGGAGTTTCTTTGGACTTTTCTGCAGAATCTTTTGCAGTGTTATTCCCAAATGTCCCAATTGCTAGTAACCCATTAGGCCAGTCACTGAATTCTTCTTTCTCACATGCATGAGATGCATCTATCCACAAACAAATAACATAAAACATAAGTACTGTTAGGATCAAACGCTTTTCGAGAGGCAGATACTGGACTCGACCCTTCACAGGCCTCTGCCTGAACTTGACCCTTTACTGGCCTCTGTGCAACAAGTAATCATGGGAGAAACAAAAAAGCAGACAAGATGGCAAGAAACAGATGACTTACAGGCAGCTGTGTTTGGGTTTGGTTTGCTGACAGATTGCTTTCCATGGATCTTTCCATGAATCCAATCAAAGATCTGATGACACAAATGTTATCATAACCATCAAGTTAGAATCTGCAAATTAAACATTAATGCAGTGTGAGAATCTGATGAGAATATTACCTTCATTATTGGTGCTTTTGCAGGGCCTGGAGTTGATGATCACATGAACCAAAGAAAACCAAGAATCCCAGGCTATAAATAGCAATGGGGGGTGGTGAGATTTGGATGCCACATCCAAGCTGGTACCAGTGGTGGTACAAGTTCCAATGCAATGCCTTTCGCGCCGTCGTCTTTTGTCTTTTCTTCTGTGTCATTTTCATTTCCTTTTCTACTAATGAAATGCCATCATCATAAATGGTATATAGCATCTGGTTCACATGACACACCATTACATTGCTGATAACACAACACTCCTAACTTACCTAAAACTAGGTCCACTTTAGTACTTCCTCATCATCTTGCAGACAACCTAGGATTAATGTAGACTGCATATGGTTTAGTCCATCAACTTCAATTCTTTCATCAATATAGACTTCTGCAAAGTGGTATATATTGTTAAGAATGTGTTAAAAGATTATGTCCAAAATCATGTTATTGAACTCGATATATCCCATTGCATTATGTGATTTTTTAAAAAAAAAAATTACGAGAAAGCCCGCAACTTAAGTTACCCATAGCCGCTCCTGAATTCTAGGTGAAGTCTGTCATGTGACCCTAGCCGCGGCCGGAAAATGATCATTACCCATAGCTAGCTAGCTCAAATTGAGAAGACCAGTAGACAACTTTCACCCAGAATTAAAATTTGAATCTTGTGGTTACCAAGTTAACTGTATAATCAATTTAATTGGTTAGGATTATATTGTTCCTTCATGATCTTTTTTGTCCCTAAGAATTATCACCATTTCTGCAACTTTTTCATCATGGGAATGTGGAGTTAAACCAGATGTGGAGATGGAAGCTAAGCACAGGGATTTTGTGGCTTAAAATGGAAAGAGTTTTGGGATGTTGTTGAAATAATGGAGTGGTTAGAGATTTGATGTTGCAAAATCTTGATGATGTAAGATGGTCACAAATATAATTGGATAAGTTAAGAGGTGAAAGGCAGGAAAAAGATAGCCATAATCCAGGTAAGTCTGCATTGGAAATTGGGATGGGAGAAAAGATTGGTTTAGTTGGGAAATGGTGACCATGCTGCCTTGTGAGGTTGTCCCTTACTAACCCAACCACCAATGCCACCTCCCTATATCTCCACCACCAAAACCATTTGACTGGTCCTAGAATTAACATTCACACAAATATACATTTAAAAAATCACTATTCTTGGAAAATAATACATATTTTACATTCAAGACACAGCTCAATCATTGACAAATTTAAAAAAGTTAATAGCTTTACTTCACCAGCAGTAGTAATATATAGAGTTCAAAAGGCTTGATTCATAGTAGAAAATGTATAGAATTGACCTTGTTTTGCACACCAATATATATACAAGCACACAAAAACGGATATTCTCGAAATTGAAGTACAATTTTAGAATTCACAAAATTTAGGGCCTTCTTAAGTACCCTAGGTCACATGCATTGTTTCGTCGGTAATGCAGGGTGTACAATTCGACTCTTATAGGGGAATGTATGAAATTGATATCGTTATGCGTATCATACAGTAGTAGACAAAGACTGGTAGGAATTCTCATATTAATGTACTAGCATATGAGGGCTATAGGGTTCTCGAAATTGAAGTGAACTTCTAAAAATCATAAAATTTAGAACCCTCTTATTTACCTTAGGCCATATTCATTATTTTATTGGTAACCGAGAGTATAGAGTCGTTTCTTACAATGAGATGTATAAAATTAAGTCTGCTAGAAACACCGCCTGAAAAGGCCAAAGGGTGGTGGGACCTTCAAAATTGAAGTCGAATCTTAAAATTCACAAAATTTTATACTCTGTTAAGAATCACGTGCCACGTACACTCGTACACTGTAATAAAAAACGCAAGGTGTAAGATTCGATTCTTACCTAAATAGTTTCAAACATTCAATCTGCCCTGATCTCTCAGTTCATGTACCAATGAGTAAACTGTCATTCTGTCAATCTTCCCCTCACCCCTCAGTTCATGTACATATATCACAACTGTCATTCTCCCAGTAGTTCATGTACAATTATTAGAACTGTCAATTTCAATTCCCCCCAAAGTAAAATCATATTTTTCGTCCATTTTAGCTTAACTTTATCACACAGATTTCTCAGCTGGAATCCAAGTCCATAGTCCACACCACCCTGCCACGTGAAGCTGTCTACTTCCTCACATGGACCCTTTAATTTGCTCCCATCTATTTCTTCACACTACTTTTAGCTGCAGCCTGGCCGGATCGGATGGGACCCATTATATATATTTCAATTCCCTGCAAGTTGGCGGGAGTCTACGTGTCAGACACCAAGATTTTGATGACCCTTCATCGTAGCACACCTGGCCTACACGTGTGTCTGTCATTCTGTCAACCTTAAAATTTGCAGCGGCCTCGGTTTTCTGCGGCCTCTGGTTTCGTGGCAACAGTGCAGAGAATCATTGGGAATCTCTTTCTGTTCAACCAGTGTTTGTGGGTTGGGTTTTCCCATGCAAGCAAATGGCAAATGCTTACTGCTTTCAAAGCTTCAATAATCTCTCTGGATTTGAGGCTGTTAATTAATTAGCATCTTACCAAGACGATTAAGGCAAGAAAATCTTTCTTTAGTGTATAATATAAGCTCCAATCGCCCTGCGGCATATGTTGGTTGGAGCATTTTTTTAAGGTTGGTGCCTGGTGGTCCTTCCATCAAACCCGAATTAGTACTAAGTTTCCAGGAACCACAGAGGTTTGGTTTGGTGGATAGTCAGTCTGTGGTCCAACACTACCATTTGTGGGTCTCAAATGATATATCAGGATTTGCAGGCATAAGTAGAAAGCTTGCCTCTTTTCAGTTCTGCAAATATATATTCAGAACAATCAACATGAGTAAACAGTGCCTGTTGCGGTTATAACACTCGTTATAATATAGACCAGGTCCACATTACGTTGCGGACTCCTATCCATAAAACAACATTCAGATTATGTGTTTGCACTTTAACATAAGTGTCTTTCAGAAAAAATTTTAATTTTGGTCATTAGTTGCCTTTGCCTTTGCCCACAAAGGCAAATCCTTGGGCCCTTGGACTAGTGTTAAGTGTTTGGTGCCTACAAGCTAAGGAAACACCCTCGATCTTCTGGGTTGAAACTCTCACAATGCAACTGTTAGAACTTGATCCTATTGTTTTAAATTGAAGTAAGGTAGTAGAAATATCAATAGGATATAGAATAAAAAATTGTAAGAGAAAAGGATAACTCAGCTCATTGCATTTTATTCAAAGCACCATGGCTCTTTATATAGAGCAAAAAATGTAACAGAAACACATATATATAACATTCTGATCGATTTATTGAAAGATCTATTATTAAGTCATAAAGAGATAATCTCTCTTAAAGACTTAGTCTGTTGATTGACTAGTAACTAACTGACTTACTAAGACACATAATAAATATATCGAATGAGAGTCCAAACAATTCCAACATATAGGGATAATGCATTCATGCAAAGCAGCAAGACCATATCCTATAAAACTAGGCCACCTCTCTTCTCTGCATTATTGGTGAGAGCTAGAATACAAATCATTTACTATATATGTATATAAATATTGTGTCATTATATAATACAGCTATTGTTTCATTGCTCATCGAACCAATATAATTGATATGCTTGAGTCTTCCAACATGCCATCTTGGCAGATATAATTTGTTAGCTAGCCAATGAAAACCCTAATTTAGCTCAAAACTCAGAGAAAGGTCTCCCCTTTGGAGAACAAATTAAACTTTTTTATGAGAGAAAAATTATGTGAGGTCCCCCAATTTGCTACATATACTATATCTTTATGGGAATCACCACAGGATTACAAACTATAACTGGAAACCCTAACCATGACTTTCCCAAAATGGCAAGTCTTCTTTAGAACTTCATTGGAAGGTGTGGGGAGTGAAAGATGTCAGCAGACCAAGAGAAGATGTCTTCCAGTAATGTTAGATGTTGGTAACAAGAACTGCTGCTTCGTTTTCACTCTTCCTATATATAATAATTAATGTTCTTAGGATGCAACTAGGTCACCATGATAATTGGTTAAAATCTTGCATGGAATATGGTGTGCCGCCCACAATTGAGGACTTTGCACCCTGCTTTCCTATTAACGATGCAGACTCTTATGTTCTTTGCTTCATTACTAAGGGTATTTTTTTTTTAAGATTTGTTTAAAAAAATCACTATATTGAGTTGGAGGAAGATTCAGAGTGGTTAGGTTGAAATCATTGTAACTCAGCTGAACTACAGATGCTAAACCTTTGCTTACTGCTTCCACACTACCGCTGGGGAGACTCGATCCCTTGTCACTCTTCCCAAACTTCACCTCTATGACTAACTGTGCCCATGCGGGCAATTATATCATGAATATTGGTCTAATATAATGGATGGAGGGGAATCTTATTTAAGACTTGTTTCCAACAATAGGGTGGGGGTTTGATTTCTACCACTAGCATTAGGGGTTTGGGTTTAGATTGAATATTGGGAGTTTGGATTTAGGTGGGGTCCTTGTGCACAGAAATATATAATTTGGCGTTGAGGCGGGTTCATAGAGTCATTAGATATAGTCCGACAAAGTGAACATCTCAAGTTCATAATTCGATCACACAGTTTACAATATTCTTTATCCTAAAATTATCCGGTGTTGTAGTGGACCTGAAATTAAATAACCATTAGTACCAAACAAATTGTTTCCATAAATAAATAACTTAATTCAACATACTCACATTTTTTGAACTAGATACAAATAAAAACGGAAAAAGTAACGTGTTTCATTCTGTTTATACAGCCTTAGTATTCCATTGAACTATACACCGAAAACGAAAATCTGAAAAAGGGTATGTAAAACCATGGACAACAATAACCTTACAAGTCACATAACTACACAACATATACAACAAGAAGCAGTGGGGCAGTCATATGTTGCTTTTCCTTATCCCTGTTGTTTGGAACAGCACAGTTCACAGCAGGCAAGGCAACCTAAACATGCTAATGAACCAAGAAGCTGTGTCATTACCACTGCGCACTGGTCATTTATCTTTGAACACATCTGAATGCAACACATGCAACAGCACTTATCACACACCATTTTGCAACAGTTTGAGGCTGCCTGCACAAACATCTCTGCTGCTTCTGGTTTCGATGTGGAACCGGGAGGAGTGTTTTCGGCTGTGGCAGTAAGGTCCCCGAAACCAAGTCCAAGATTTCGGAGCATTATTATAGCCTTCTGCAGTTTAGGGTCTCCCGTTTTCTGTGGATTCAAATAGAACCATAACCATTGCAGTATTGCACCAAAACGGAAGCAAAGGAAGAACAGATCAGTCGAAAGTTTGGATGGTAACAATACCTTATTTACTTTGGATGGCTCTGTGGTTCCTTTTGTTTCCTCAGTTCCTATGAATGCCATGTTTGTATATTCAGAAACAATACCATGTTGTACACTCGCCCTTGCTATCTGCAAATCAAGAAACCTTAATTGCAACCAAAAGTAAGCAGACATGTTTCTGCAATAGGGCGTAAATTAACAGTGTAATAACCTTCTCCTCGAGCTTCTTGTTTTTGGTAAACCATGCCTCGGCTGTGAGTATCTCGATTTGCTGCTTTGCAAGCACCTACGGAGCGCAATGGATTATAAATTAATAACAAATGCAATATGAAGAAACACCCTTCCTTAAGGAGCAATCGATATAGTGCAAGTTTGGCTTCCACTTCTGCTTTACTGATAGTTTTTGGGGATAGGGGGAAAAGTTCTGCGAGTTTACCTTAGAAAGAGGTATTTCCTTTGCTTCTTGCGCCTTCAGGTGTAGAGAGAAGTTGTTCATGTCTGCAAGGATTCCTCGAGCTTCAAGGCTCTCGGGAAATTCTCCACTGTATCTGCCTGAGAGAACCAATGGGCCTTCAAGTGAAAGGTCTGGGATTTGAGGTGGATATACCTATCATGAAATTGTGTAAAAACCAGCATTCCCATTAGGCAACTTTCGACTATTATACATTGGGAAAAACTTCTGTTACTGAAGTTTACCATTCCCATAGTTTTTCTTTGATAAGTCATAAGTATGGAACATTTCCATTATTACGATCAGTTCAAGAAGTTCGAGTAAGAAACAAGAATAGCTTAACCTTACCTCAAAGTCTTGAAGATCAAGACTTTCGAAGTCGATAGCAATGTCTGCAAGGATAATGGATGATGTTCTGGCAAATAGGCCTTCCACTCGAGCCTCGATTGAATCTGAAACGCCAAACATGCATCAGATTGGATCAGGCAGTCAGTTTAGCATTTATAGTTACGCAGATTTCACATGAGGCCACGGGGGAACTTACCTGCATCATAAGCAGCATCGTAGAAGCCACCGCTCAATATTGACAGCATTCGCAGAAAATAGTGGTTGCAGAATGATCCTGGAAATTTTCGAGCAACCAGTTATTAACTTAATGAAACTTCAGAAGCAATATCAATATCAGCAAGTATAAATCTCCAACATATTTCAGCAATCAATATCAATATCACCCGTAATTATATAGAGTTCGTTCTAATGCATACCAATCCCAAGTGTGTAAATCCTCGGGGAGATTCTCCTCCCTCTCGTTGGATGGCTCTTCATAATATCACAGATTCGTCTTTCATCTTCAACAGACCCATCGGTAATGAGGAAAATAATAGGGACAGCTTTGTTTGTATTAGATAGCATCTCAATCGCCTAACCAAGTAAATGTTAGTGTTTTAATGCCATTTTCACAAACAATAATACACGTATAACTCAAATAGAACAAACGAACACGTTTTAAGCTACACTATACGAGTGCATCTCATCAATTTTCAGTATATTTGGCATGATTTAGAAGAAGAAGAAGAAGAAGAAAAGGTAACCTCGAGAATCCAATGAGAATAGTTAAGAGTGTAACCTGATTTAGTGGATTCGAAATATTTGTCCCGCCATCAGCAACAAAATTCGTGTTAATCCACTGAATAGCACTTTCGATAGCTTCCTCCCTTGCCAACTCTAGAGATGATGAAAACACAAAAGTTTCGCCATTGAAGGCTATTATACTGAACAAGTCTTGAGAGTCGAGCTTTGACAGAGCTATCAATAGCACGCTTTTGGTATCCTCAAGAGGTTTTCCTCTCATGCTCCCGCTTATATCCACAACAAACACAACTTCCTTTCTGAAGACCTATCAAACAAATCAAAAAAACAGTGAGAACCCACCAGAAATGTATTCTCAGGCTAAAGGTTTAACAAACCTTTTTAGTCTGCTTGTTTCCTGGAAAAAGATAGCAACAGAATGTCTTCTTATTATCATTCTCAAGTGCTAACGGGGACTGCAAAAGCACACCACCATAGATTTGGCTCGATGACACCTGAAGATATGAAGAAGCAAAAACACTTAAGAAATTAGATCGCAGAATGATCAAAAAACATGCTTAACATGGAAATTTGGATATGACCTTTCTCTGAGTCGAAAGCCAGTTACAACACTAAAGTTAGAGCAATGATCACTACATCTCATTAATGCACAAGTAAAACAAAATAAACTTACAGAGTACGTAAAACCAAAATCGTGAATGGACCAGTTAAGAACTTCTGATTCATATAAAAAGCTCAAATTCCCAGCTAGGCGACGCACTTCCTAGAATATGATAATTAAGAAAACCATGATTACAGTAGTATTCAATCAGAAATCTTTTGTACATAAACTAAAAAGAGCAGGCACCTTGAGAGGATGACTACTTGTCCTACACAAAATTTCAGTTCCGGGGCCATAGTTAACATTTAGTTCTATCTTTTCCTTTTTCGAGATTTTCTTGGCAGCAGGAGTGACATATTCCGGGAAACTGAACGGGATGTTCAGGGTAAACTGCCCATCATGGTACAGTAACTTCTGAGACCATCTAATAGTGACTAAAAGATTGGTACCCCCATCAATCTGAAAATGGAAATTCACATCCTAAAATGAAAAAATAACATAAAATAAAACTGAACTATATCATGCCATCTTGGAGGCATTTCTTTTACCTCTGGTATTTCGAGGGTAAAAATGTTGGGATTCAAATAGTATCCATCCTCAAATTTGGCTGTTTCCTTTTTATCATCTACAGCAACTAGTTCAGTATGGTAATGTTTCCCGGGCACCTCAACCTCGAGACCTAGAATCGAACCCTGTTAGCCAAATAACTCATCACTTTGAGGACAAAAAACAAAGGGAATTGAAATAAACAGCATTCCCAGTTTAAGATAACTAGCAAAATACATGAAAAGCATAGCCAGGTGGTAACTTTCATTATCATTGAACAAAAAGGACTGGAGAATGTAAAGATATGACCTTTAAAAGGACTAGGAAAACCCCACACAAAGCCATGACCAATCTACCTATCCCCTCAACATGAAGCTCTCATCAATAAAAAGAAAAATACATAAAAACAACTAAAATAAAATTTTACGATTCATTTTTGGTTTTTGATGCAGAGTATTGCATAATAATTAATATAATTTTATTTTAATATATGTAAATGGAACGAAGATTAAACTCACTACTTACTACAAGACTTTTTGAACATAAAATTTAATTATACCATCTTACTTTAATTGTCACATATTACTTCTTAAAAAAATCATTTTATTCATTTATTACCATAAATTGATCCCTCCATACCGGGATAAAAATATATATATTTACTTATTAATTAAATAAAAAAGTAATTAAATTATTATATCGTAAAAATGTAAATATTAAGTAGTAAAATGGCCTTATATTACTGCAGTAATTTGAAACTCTTTTTTTTTTTTTTTTAATAATTTAAAAACAGAACAGTGAAATTGTAAGCTTTGCCTGTTCGCCCATCGGAATGGCAATACGACAATCGCAGCTGCGGCTGCCCATGACGCAGTGCACGCGCCAGGATCCGGTGACGGTGACGAACGCCGTGTCCAGATAACACTCGGCGGCGACAGAAATGCTGTTCATCTGCAGAGGAATCAGCGCGGGAGGGTCGCATCTGCCGTGCACGTGAGGCTGGTAGCTCGGAACGTCCGGGTTGTCCACCACGGCGGGGTTCTCAATAACGGCGTAGAGCATTGGAGCTGATGGAAGGTAGGAGTGAGCCGTCTTCTCCATGGCCGTCATCGCTCTCGGCGGCGCCACTGCCCTGTCCTTCCCGAAGTTTATCCGCTTCGAAAGCCGCAGCCCGTCCTCCACGGCGGCGGCGAATTCCCCCGCCATGACGCCGCGCGCTTAGGAAATTGAAGGTCTTCGAATTGGAGATCGCCGGAAGGCAACGCTGCCGTGCTGCTTCGTTGTCGCCTTTTTATTTCGTCGACACGTTGACCGGTTTTATCTTTCGTAAATGACAAACAAAACTAAAAAAACCGGGATAACAGCGCCACGGTCACGGCTCAAGCTCCGTTATCCGGCCGGTTCGGTATCTTATTTTGTCACATTTAATTTCCCATCATACTGAACAACTGTTTTTTTAGAGAGACATTTAATAAACTTCAATACTTCATCATTAATGAACCGCCCCATCTTGTCATGTTCACAATATCTTTTTTCTTTTTTTGGAAAATGATATATCTACTCACATGGAATATAACTCCCGCCATATATATACATTTTATTCGGTAATAGAAATAGTGATTTATTTTGTTATTTAAATCAATCAAAGGACGACACATTATGGAGTAAAAAGTGAGAGTACGTGAAATATTTAATTACTCTTTTTTTTTAATAAAAATATTCACAATAATTGCAAGTTCAATTCATCATATCCATATAATGATTGCATGCATTTTTGTAATATTATTTTCGTCCTATTACATCCTCGATGTTGTCATATTACGACTCTACACTTTTACGTATAAGGTGTTCATTCCAAATCTAAATACCCAATATTTGTGGAGGGTTAAATTATTTTTTTTGGGGTGAGGAAAGAGAGGATATGCCTCAGATTAAGTGATTCTACGATAACTGCCCCCCACGTCATGAGTCAGGAGGGAAACAAGACCTTTCATAGCGTTTGTGAACACGCTCATGCCCCAATCTTTCACTTGCGCGAGAGTAGCCAAGAAATCTGCGCATGCGTTACTCTTCCTAAAAGTATGATTGAAAGAGATCCCCTCGAATCTGGGCACCAAAACTAGACAGTCGTGTAGAAGTGTACACCCAGAATCGTCCGTATCTGACTTCACCATGTAGGAGATCAATGATGGCTTTGGAGTCCATCTCCACCATCACCCGAAGAACCCCCTTTCTCGAGGTAGAGCCGTAGACCCTCCCTTAGGGCCCACAGTTCTGCCACGGAGCTATTAGCTTTATCAATTTTTGTTGTGAAAGCCCAAACCAGATACCCCCTCTGTCTCGAACTAGTCCACCCGCGGATGCAAGGCCCGAACTACGTTTGGCTGCTCCATCCGTGTTTAGCTTGAACCAACCTTATCTTGGAGGGAGCCACTGAACCCAGTCTGCGCATGCTTTGATCACTTCCCCTATTTTTGAGAGACTAGAGAGTTCTCTTACCCCAAAATGCTGAATCCCCAACCCTAAGGGTCCCCATACTTCGACCCGATAGAACATGTAGGAGGATGTAAATCACGATGACTCAATGGGCTAGTAGGAAGGGCCAAATGACTAGAGAGCTCTCTAACGTGATGAGTGGAGGGTTAAACTATACCACAACGTTTAAAGCAAGTCTTTTTAAGTGAGAGTTTTTATCTGTTAAATCAATGACTTAGCACTTGTCTTTTTTATGCAATTTGCTTCTAGGGTGGGGGTAAATGGGCCAGCCCAAAGTGGGAGGATCCATTGTAGGTGTTGTGGAGCTTAATATAATAGGAACAATTCCTCTCATAACAAATAGTGGGCACCCATTGATTTTTGGGTTCTTTCATTGGGCTGTGATTCGTACTCTAGGACTCAACAGGCAAATTATATCGTGCACCGCGACGTATAATCGATTATATACCGCGCATCAAAACGACGTTGTTTTGATTAATGAAAAGAAACGGCATTCGTTTCTGTCGTTCCGTACCCTTCAGCAAAAAGTAACTCTGTTATTCTGTTTCATTTTGTATACATTGCAGTTTCAGTTCAACACAATTATAGTTTCATTTCGATATAACTACAGTTTCATTCGATATTTATAAACTCAAATATGTTAAAATGTTATTTAATTTTATTTTATATAAATTATAGTTTTATCAAAACACAACTACATGGTTATTTTGATATAATTACAGCTTCGTTGTACAATATACACACAAATATGTGAAATGTTATTCAGTTTCATTTTATATACATTGCAGTTTCATTTCACCACAACTACAGTATCATTTGATATAACTGCAGTTTCATTTGATAATATAAAATAATATGTGAGGCAGTGTCGATTTAGATATCCTGTAGTATCAGTTAGTAATTAACATACAAAAAAAATGTGCGTTCCATTAACACTAACGGCGCGCCGTTTCTTTAAGTAAAGAAACGGCGCCGTTTTGATCGTGGTGCATGTGCACTGCGGTCCACGATATAACGACTGGACTCAACAATAGACAAAGAAAATACTAGTTGAGTTTTCAAGCTCTACTCTTTACGACCTTACTTGTACCCAAAATGAATATAATTTATTATCCCTTGTCACATTAAGGAGTAAAGTAAAGATTGAAAGTCCATATAATAAAACTCGAAGAGAAGATTTAGTATGACTCAGTGACAAAGCTCATTCTTGAATGAAAGAAAGTATGAAAGAACCTAATAGGAGACACATAGTCAAATCACGTAACAGTAACCCAATACAACAATAGAGATATGCCTCACAAAAATGGTAGCATATAGGAGGCAAAGTACAATATGATGCACCACTGCCATTGCCCAAGCTCGGGGGAACGAAAACAATGCTGCTGACTCGAACCCACTCCCTTCTATATAGGAGTGCAACTTAGGTGTCATTAGACAACAAGATTTCGGCTTTTGACCCACAAATATAATATAATGATAGATGTGAATTTGATATTGAGCACTTTCACATACCTAATTTGATCTTGTAACACTTATAAATTTTAAACATTCTTTTTTATATCGAACAATATAGTCTATGAATATATTTTTTAGTCATTATCATTGTATACATACATTTCTTCAATCTTTATTGTTAAGTGAATGTCTAACCAAAAGATGCAATTACCAATTTGTTAAAACTATGGGGTTGATTTTGTTTGGGAAAGAGCTATGGGGTTGTTTTTGTTAATTTGATAAAGTATTGGGGCTACAAAGAGATCAAAGACAAAACGAGGCACTAAAACGTGGTCAAGTTCTGACCGTCATGTTCGACTATCTCTGAAGTCTGGAAGCCGCTTCGACTTTGGCCGCCGCCGAGATTCCCCAGCGCCGCCGTGACCTATCGATTCACGGCTAGGCTATAATCTTTACAGTGTTCGCAAGCCCTTGTAGAACACCTCAATTATGCTGCTAATGATTAGGTCGGGGCGACAAAATGCCAGAAGCTTGATCTCTCCACCGTCCACCAAAAGCAATAGCAATAAAGTTTTCTTCTTTCTCTTATACTCCACCAGAGCCGCCGCCGAGTCTATCCTAACCTCCCACCCGTACCAGTTTTCTTCACAGGAGTGCTTTCATTCATCAGCCTCATGTTCCAGCTCTATTCACACTTCAAATGCCGGCGTTTTCCAGCTCAAGGATGTGGTTTTGTCGTTTAAAGAGTGGTTCCAGAGTAGGTTAAACCCGGATTTCGATCGAATCTTCGAAATCTTACGAACCAAAGACGAGGCATCAGCGGATTTAGCTTTGTCCCGGTTCAATCTCCGTCTCTCCGAATCATTAGTTCTAGAGATTTTGAACTATGAGAAGGGTAAAGATGTGCTGTCTTGCTTGAAGTTCTTCGATTGGGCGGGTCGTCAACCCGGGTTCTACCATACCCAGGCCACATTTTCTGCAATTTTCAAGATTCTCTCGAAAGCCAAGCTCACTACCTTGATGATTGAGTTCTTGGAGAAGTACGCCAAGCAGAGGTATATTCACAGATTAAGATTTTACAACACTTTGGTGATTGGGTACTCAATTGCGGGGAAGCCAGAAGTTGCACTCCAGCTGTTCGGTAGAATGCGGTTTACAGGTGCTGATTTGGACTATTTCGCTTATCATGTGCTGCTCAATGCGCTAGTGGAGGATGAATTTTATGATGCTGTTGATATGGTTTTGAGGGAGATTAAGCTCCATGGGTTTGAGAATTCGGTCACACATTCCATATTTGTGAAGAGTCTTTGTAAGCAAAGGGAGCTGGATAAGGCTGAAGCTTACATTAGGGGTTTGTTAGGAAATGGAGGAGCTGGTTTGAGTGGCATTGTTGTGGCCACTGTTGTGGATGCTCTTTCTAAGAACAGAGATTTTGAGAAGGCTGGATTGTTGGTTGAAGAGTTTCGCGAGTCCGGTTTGGTCTCTATGGAGCATGCTTATGGTGCCTGGATTAACAACCTTGTTAGGGCGGGGAAGCTGGATGGGGCTTTAGAGTTTCTGAAAAATAGGAATGTGGTTGATGGGCATGTTCCTCGTGTTTTCAGATATAACGGTTTAGTTTGTAAGCTTTTAAGGGAGAATAGACTTGAAGAGGTTTATGACTGGTTAATGGAGATGAAGGATCAAGGTATATCTCCAGATGAGGTCACCATGAATGTTACAGTATGCTTCTTTTGCAAGGTGGGAATGGTTGATGTAGCTTTGGAACTGTATGATGCAAGATCTGAGTTTGAGCTCTCTGTAAATAGTATGGCTTATAATTATCTTATAAACACTCTCTTGGGTGATTCAAGTAATGATGACGCCTGTCGTGTGCTGAGAAATGGAATTGAACAAGGTTATTTTCCAGGTAGAAGGACCTTTTCAATTATTGCCAATTCTCTTTGCAAAGAGGGGAAGCTCGATAGGGTGAATGAGTTGATTCTCGCTGCTCTAGACCACAATCACATGCCCAGCGATATAATGTACAACAGGTTCATATCAGCTCTGTGTAGAGCCCACAGAGTGGAAGATGGCTTCTTGCTACATGAACAGCTCAGCCGATTAAATAAGGTTACAAGCAGGAATACTTATTTTGACTTAATTAGTGGCTGCGTCAAGTCAAGTAGGGCAGATATTGCAGCAAGATTACTTATAGAAATGCAAGAAAATGGCCACAGTGCTAACAGCCAGTTATACAGAGCAGTTATTTGCTGTTTATGTCAATTGAATAATCCAGAAAAGCAATTTTTCAGGTTGATGGAGATGCAGTTGTCCCGATTTGAGCCTACATGTAAAAATTACAATTTCTTCATTGATGGAGCTGGGCATGCTGGAAAACCTGAGCTGGCTAAAGAAGTATATGAAATGATGGAGAAAACTGGTACGGTACCAACTTTGAATTCTCATGTGCTGCTGTTGCACAGTTATTTGAAAAATGGACGGATTTCAGAAGCTTTAAACTTCTTTTATGATTTAAGCAAGAGAGGCAAAACATCCCGGAAACTTTGGCACTGCTTGATTGTTGGCCTTTGCAAAGTGGGCAATCAACAACATGCATGGGATGTATTCTGGAAGATGAGGGCAGAAGGGAAGAAACCAAGTTTGGAATCTTATGAGGAACTTGTGAATTTGTTGTGCTCACATAAACAATACTATTGGGCTTTGATTGTTGTTGATGATTTGCTGCGAAGTGGTCGAAAGGTTTCTTCATTTATTGGCAATGTGCTTTTATTACATTCTTTAAGGACTAAAAAGCTTTATGACCTTTGGTTGAACTCAAGAAATGATGAAAATACAACAATTAAGAGCTTGAAATTAGGCAAGCTGATGGAGACATTTTCTGGTTGTAGTAACACGAGCATGGATATTAATGAAATTGAAGAACTAATTCAGCAATGCTTTCCTCTTGATATCTACACCTACAATCTGTTGTTGAGAAGATTAAGTATGTGTGAGGTTGATTATGCTTGTGGTTACTTTAATACTTTACGTAAAAAAGGATATGAGCCAAATAGGTGGAGTTATGATATAATAGTACATGGTTTGTCAAAATGTGGTCGGACTTCCGAAGCTAGGAAGTGGATTGCAGAAATGCTTGGCAAAGGATATGATCTAACAGAGGCAACTGAAGCCATGGTCTAATATATTCAGAAGTTTCCTTTTTCTGTTCAAGAGACTTCTAATGATATTGCTCCTCCTAGCACTGCTTGTAGCTTGGTGAGTTCACTTTTCTCTTTAAAATACATGTTTATTCCATGTTTTCTTTAAATGAAGTTCAATTAGATGATCTTGTGGTAGTTCTGAAATGGTTATCCAAACAATTTTTCACATATTGATTCTTCTGAAATGATGAGGAATTCTCTAATATTTTATTTCATTTTATTGCCATAGATATATGTTACTTTAAGACTAATAATACAAATTCTTGATCTTTCTCAACATATTATTTGCTTTCATATCTTATAGGTGCTATATCAATTAGGAAAACTTGTCTGGAGCTAAAATCTTCTTAGCTGATTTATATACAAGTTGTATGCTTGCATTTTCATTTTGGCTGGGTGGGAGGGGCTATGATTTGGGGCAATTGAGAGTATCTGTGTTCTTGAGAATCTGCATTTCGGAGCACTTCCTTAATGTCTCTCTTTGCAACAGAATCATTACAATACTAGGATTTGCCTGCCTTGAAGCATGTTTTAAGTAAATATTTATCTGCTTCTTAATCATCTCCCATTGTATATATCCAGTTGGTGAGTTTCACTTCTGCACCAAACTAGGCTAAGCATCTGACTGAACCTTTTACCAAACTATTACATTAATAAACATAAGTTTCTGGAGTGATGTCTATAATATCTAAATTGCCCATTGAACAACATAAGTGTTGACTTCTTAAATTTGTCAGTCTGTACTGTCTCTGGTGTCATTCATTAGTTATTATGTTCCAAGCATTCAGTGTCTTTTGGTAAAGAGAACTAGGATGCAATCTGAGATTTTCAAGGGCAGAGGGAACAGGATCAAATTATGTTTTTATTTCTAGAGTAGTTCTGAACATGTTATGTTTATAGTGGTTCTCTCATTGAATTTTATCTGAATTCATTCAAAGTATTGATTAGAGTTAAAATTATCTATTGTGGCAACTGGCAAACAAGTCTGTGCTGTGTGCCTACGTCACTTATTTGGCCTCTTAGTAAGAGGCATAAGTTTATGCCTCTTTCAGTGAAGCAATGGAATCTTTTAATTTGGACCTCTAATATCATTGTTGAGATGCATAAAAATTTTGAAAATAAAATATATGCTCGTAGTTTCTGTAAAAAGTGGACCTCAAATATTGTTGGAAAGATATAATTTTTGGAAAAGCACTGATATTTTCGTAAGCAAGACACATTTGGTACTTGGTCCACATTCAGGACAATATGCCATTTTTGGTTCCTTGGGTATAGTGTGGTACGATAAGGAATGCCACTATAACCGAGTACCCAAGGGACCAAATGTGTCATGATTAAAAGTTTTTTGGACTACGAGACCAAAAGCGGGATTTACTGTTCTGGGATGCCTAGTTTCATATACATTCAATGACTAATAATGAACATGAAAGGCTAAATTTTGTGTCATCTGCAATTCTGCAAAGTTACATGTTTACATGGATTCTTTAATGACAGGAAGATACACATTTTCATCCTTGGTTCTAGTAGACACCACTTTAGTTTTTTGCTTTGAAGTCGATTGATTTACTGGGAAACATCAATGGTAGGTGAAGTTGATACAAGAAAGCAGTTGGCAAAGCCGTGCTAGTTTGGCAGAAGAAATCTGGTACAAGAAAAGAGCAATCCAATCGTCACGATTTGCATCTGCTTGGACTGACTTGGCTACAACAGCGAAATTTCTTCATGGTTGTGTTTGTAAAGTCTGTAAAGTTTATAGATTGAGATACAGGTGATGCAGACTCGCCCACAACAGCTCTCTGGCATTGCAATAAAGAGCCCTTCAAAGTGGCTGAAAAGTTTTTGAAGGTTAACTTTGCTCCTGTGGTTTCATGTGAATAAAACCATTTCTTATCCAAAAAAAAAAAAAAAAAAAAAACATGTGAAGCAGTCTGTTCCTCTAACACTATAGGCTTTTGGTGGTTTATATCTATGCCACCTTAATGTTTTGGGTGTGGAGCTGCCTTCATCAATTATTTTAAAATTGTCTAATCCTGAAATGATTTTTTGTTAGCTGTTATCACTAGCCTTTGAGAAAAGCCATGTTTGTAGTATAGCACTCAAAATAAAACCTCTGCTTCAGTTCAGATATGTTGTTGTAGTTCTTGCTATTTTTGGTTATCATCATTATTATCAGTAATGAGATCCTTAGTAAAAAAATGGAAATGTGAACCCATATAAATTTTATTAACTATTGCTAAATTAAGAAAAAATTTGTGATAAAGAATTGTTGTTAGATTGTACTGGATAATCGATATAATCATGTATATCATATTGTCAAATTGTACTTCATATAATCGTGGACTGTAACACATTATACCATATATAAATTGTACGAATACAGTTAGCACCATAAAAGTTCACTTTAAAGCAAGTCTAGTCTCAGTCATAATTGTACTATTCATTTGCAACTCTTCATCAATGGAATAGAAAAATATTGGTGTAGTAGAAATTTTACAATGAGAAGGGGCCAGAAGACAGCTAGTGATGCTATTGTTTATTGCTAGAAGAATAATAGGGGATAGTCCTATATATTTTCCTCATGATGGGTACAGAAAGACACTCTCGTATACAACAGGTCGAACTCTAGTGTAATGAAATAGCCAAAATCAGCTATAATGAGCAAAATGGGCTACCACTACTGGATAGTCACATAAAAATGATGTATGAAAAGCATCAGAAAAGCTTTGCTCAGGCCTGATAAGATGCCTGCCTGTATTATACCTGACATGGATATAGTTGTTCAGTAATTACTTTTTGTTCGTACCTGTCAGGTTGGGATGATTAGAGTTGGGCGAAAAGCATTTCATTCCATGTATCCGGAATGCCAGGCATGCACCAATGCAAGCAATCCTGCACTCCAGGTGTTGCTTTAATGCTGTAACGAGATAGGTGGCCTTCATCTCTCAGCTGAGACACTGCTGTAATGTCCAAAAGTTTAACGTTCGTTCCTTTTACTGCCCCTGCTGCAGAAGAATCACTAGATTCGTCTTGTAAAACTTCCAGGCCGGCAGAGTGTGGGGTAGTGTTGTCGCAGGTGCCCCCAGTGTTCCAATCTCCGTTGAAGAAATGCCTGGGTGATATTGTGCGATAGAATGCTTTCAGGCCAGGATACTTAGGCAGCTGTGAGTTCATCCACTTGACAATACTGTGAATTGTGAAATTCTTAGCGCCTGCAATATCTGCTATCTTCCTGTTTGTATTAGGCTTGCCCCCTACATACATGACCCATCGATTGGCCTTAATTTTTCCCCTGTTCCAATGGTGTCCTGTGTTTAGAACAACGACATCAAAATTTGGAAGGAAACGATTCAAGAATGCTGGTGGACGATCAAGGTGCATGGCATATTCAGTAGCTGGATCTTTAGCATTGATGGGTGTCAAGCCACAAAGACTTGCAGACCAGTAGTAAAGGATAGTGCTGTTGGTGCTTGGAAATCGATAAGCCCACCCATCAGGCCGTACAGCACCACGAGCCTTTACGAGACCATATTCACGTCCCACATTAAGAACATCGGTTCTCTCTTCACCACCAGTTATCATACACATTAGTGATTGGAATTGCTGTCTACCTAATGAATCCCCTATGAAGGCCAAAGTTTTGTTCTCCATCCTGAAAGCATCAAGTTTAAAGAATTCTTTTGTCAACGATTAAAAAAAAGGCCAATAGATTACTGGTTAGGCAATGTCATAGGGGTCATGAGAAGAAATAGCATCAACTGATAAATAGGTTTGGTTGATGCTGAAGCACTAGCAAAGATTATTCTTTTCAATGTAAATACGAGTTTGACTGGTTGGATACTTGGATATGAAATTTCTAAGGAAACCAACTATTTTACCTTTTAAGGAATTTAGAACCTGTGAACTCTTCCATCTCACAATCTTTAGGTTTCCAACGTAATTTCTCATATTCAAAATCTGTGCGCTGTGTCAAGCGGCAAGCCCACATGGATGACAACCATTGCTTACAGCCAAATCCAGAATATAAAGGGCGATTATCATCCTTGATCCATTTACCTTTGGCAAAATTACAATCTGAAAATTTAAAAAAATAAAATAAAATTAGCAGTTAATTTGTACATGAAAACCAGATCTATTATCTATCAACTTGTCAGGATGGACAATTGGCCAAATCTATCAATGTGCAAAACCAAATCTAGGTACTTAGCTTCTCTAAGATTTGTTGAAGTGAGTTACTTTCAAACCAAGACTAGCTTTACTTATTATAGAAATAAAAGAAACCTTTCTTTTCTGGATGAGTTGTCAAATTTTCTCTTTGTCCTTTGACATAATTCTCTGTGGTTAGAGAATGCAATGGAGCATTGGAGTCTTTTTCTTCATTTGAATTATTTTTTCCTCCTGAAACTTCTGCTTTATCTGCTTCTTTAGCTCCTGAAACTTCTGCTTTATCTGCTTCTTTAGCTCCTGAAACTTCTGCTTCTTTAGTGACTCTAAGAGGACTATCTGCAAAATCACAAAGTTGGAAAAGAATTAAAAAGGGTGCACAAGCATCAAATCATAGCACAGAACCAGATTACGTATAAACTGAAGTAAGCATAATACAAAGTGTCTCAACAAAAGTATTCATCCAGTTTAAGTAGTCAGTAAAACCATGCAAAAACTGCCACCAATTATTAATCAGGAAAACTGAGGCAACATAATAAAGAAGTGTCTCAACAAATGTATTTGTCCAATTGTTTGTCATCCCTCTCGTGTAAGTAGTACGGAGTAACTAAAATCATTCATAAAGCGCCACCATTGGTAAGAAGTGTTTTGTCTTCTATTAAAAAAAATATTCAGGAGTTTAGACAACTCTATCTATTTTTATTAGACTTCAGGTACTCTTCTGCTGTGGAGATAGAGATGAAGAAAAACATTCATCCATGCATTAAAAGTCTCACCTTCTTCTACATCAGTTTGAGTAGTCAGCTCTTCAGTGCTCTTCCCTTGTGAGGAAGTGTTTGTATTGATAAAATTTTCTTGCAATTTAGAGCTTAAACCTTCTTCTACCTGCACAGAAGTATTTTCTTTTCCTAGATCTACTCCATATTCTGTTGCCCGTTCTGTCACTGAAAAAGTAAGGATTAATTATGCACAAGAATCTGACAATAATTTCATAGAGAGAAAAAGGCAAAGTTAAGCACCTAAAAGGTCAAACACAATGGCCATAATATGAACCATCATTCCCAAACGCTTCAGAAGGGATAAGAAGGGGGAAAAAAGCCTTACAACTTTCGATGGTTATACTGAATTGCTACTCACCAATGTAGAACTGGCTTGAAACACTTGTGCATTTTTTCTATACAAAATTCAAGTACAGAGTGCATAGAAAAATAAAAAGAGGATGTTCTTCAAACCTGGTGATAGACGGAAGATATTACTCTGAGATGGTATCCAAGATGAGAGAAAGGAACTTCTTGCAAATGCCAAAGTCAGGATAGTTATGCAGATGAAACCAATAAGGATGAGAGAGATCTGTGAAACCTTCAAACCTCCCTTCATCCTTAGTGCTTGCAGTTAAGTGTTTCGTTTAGCTTAGCATCTGCAAACCATTGAAAGGAAAAGGAACATTATACTCCATGACATGCAAAAAGGTACCATTTGTATGTATTGTATGTAATACAAAAAGTCTAGTTAGCTATTCAAGCTGATAAAATCTCACCGCTATTTAGACAACAAAAATACTGCACTCTTTCAGTAGTGGACCCAATCATTTTCCATGAAAATATCGACTTTCACAAGCATGCATTATAAGGAAATAGGCATCATAAATAAAGACTTCTGCTACTTAATTAAGCAATGGAAATCAACTTTTTCATTAATTTTGATAACCCCTCTTACTTCTCAATGTAACCACTTTCCTTTAGTTTCCGATCTCTAGATATAGTTGAATTAACCACTAAAGCACGCAATAATACAATTAAGTAAAAAACGTTGCTCAAATCCAAAGACAACACGGATCAGAAACTACTTTAAACGCGATGCATTCCAGTCGTTGAGACAATTTAGTAGCAGAAACAACCTTCCACAATCCCCTCAATAAATTCCCCAAAAAATTGGAAATACTAATAGCAAACTCCTATACTGAACAAAAACACTGTAGAATGGCAGATTTGGCAATAAACTCAGAAGAAAGCTCGCTCCACATAGAAATAAACCATACCAAAAATACAACCACTTTGTCCTTTCCTCAAAAACGGAAAATAAATTGGCAGCCAGCTGAATATCACAAAATGCATGCAGCTCGGATCTCGGAACGGGAACAATCACACTATTGAAATTCAAAGCCATCAACAGCTAAATAAACAAAGCTGGGGTGATATGAATACAGAACCTGATCAAGTGCGAAATCCGGAGGTTCGGCGATCGGATCTCCGTGCGACTGAAAGCTGAAAAAAAAAACAAAAAAAAAAAAAAAAAAAAAAAAAAAAAAAAAAAAACGTGTATAACAGTGAATTCCGGCGGAAGAGAAAATGAGACAGAGCGGGCGTCCGCCGGAGAGATGAGAGTGACGGTGAGAAATATTGGAGACAATCGGGAACAAAATAAATGGAAAGAATGAAAAGAGTGAGGCAAAATTTTTTAGTAACTCCGCATAAGCGTTGGTGAGCAATGAATGAAAAGAAATGGAAAGAGTGAGGCAAATGGTCCGCGTCTTTCTTTGTGTGTTTACTTTCTTTCCTTTTATATATATATATATATATATATATATATATATATATATATATATATATATATATATATATATATATATTTCCAAATCTATTACCAAGTTAATTATCAGATTAATTTGACTATTGTTTGCACGGGTTTAGTTTAATGATTCAGTAATCAGTATTTGAAAGGAGAGATCAAGGTTCGAGCTTGAACGGCAACAATGTAAGAATTATACTCAAAATGAACAGATCCTTTGACTATGTTTGAGTCATTGAGTCTACCGTCATTATATAACTATATTATAGTTAACATATTACAGAATATATAATTACCAGTCAAGTTGGTCGAACAATTAATTTGATAATCATAAGAATAAACTAACTTATCTCCTCATGATTATTTACCAACTAAAATTACAAATCACAATACAAGCTTCATTCAAAATTAACTTTATTAATTATTACAATACATATGATAAATTTTAATTCACGATATAATTTGCATTTGGCTGGGATTACCCTTTATCCTATCAGTCATTCCTCATTTAGTTTATGTTTGGCTAAAATAATTAACAGTAACACTAAATCACTAATAATACATATGGCATCATAGGAAATTAGGAATTCTCGATTTTTTTTAAAAAAAAAATAAAATTTGTTAAACTTCCATTATTATTGGTTTTTTGAGGTAGGGAGGAAGTTAATAATTACCGAGTGATTTAATTAGTAATAATGGCGGTTTAATTACCATTGTCGGCATGGCCCGTTAACTTTTCTCTTTGAATCACCGCTACCTATATGGCTATATCATAACCATTATTATATCATTGGTAGAAAAGGGTCAAATAGATTCTTTAACTTTACCCTAAAGGTCAATTAGGTTCTTAACTTTTTAAAAAAATCAATTAAACTCTTAAATATGTTAAATTGAGTCAATGAAACCTAAAAATCGGTAAATGACCTGTTATTATAGGTCATTTCAATTCCGGCGACGAATTTCGACCACCGACGACGAATTTCGGCCACCGACGACGAATTCTGGCCGTCCTGTCGTTTTCCACAGGAGAAGACGACCGGACGGTCGCCTTCTCCACCAGGTCCGGCCGTCATCAAGGAGAAGACGGCCAGATCTGGCTATCTCCTCCATTAGAGAAGACGGTCGTCTGGTCGTCTTCTCCATTGGAGGAGACGACCAGATCTGGCCGTCTTCTCCTTGAAGACGACCTGACCTGGTGGAGAAGGCGGCCGCCCGGTCGTCTTCTCCTGTGGAAGACGACCGGTGGTCGAAATTTGTCGGCGATGGCCGAAATTCGTCGCCGGAATTGAAATGACCTATAATAACAGGTTATTTACCGGTTTTTGGGTTTCATTGACTCATTTTGACATGTTTGAGGGTTTAATTGACCTTTTTTAAAAGTTTAAGGGCCTAATTAACCTTTAGGGTAAAGTTTAATGATGTATTTGACAATTTTTCTATCATTGGCCATGATTCACCTTGCATTAGAGACTCAAATTTAAAAGTAAATTATGGTCTAAAAATTATATATTTACAGTTAATAAATTAAAGGCACAGAATATTTTAATGTACTCTTCTATAGTTCTATCCCATTTTATATGTCTAATTTAGTATTTGTTCTTTTCTATACTTCCCCATCGAGATTTGAACCTATGACTATCCATTTAGAATAATAACCGAAATATCATCACACTACATGGTAGTTGGCTGTAAACCTCGATTCTATTTATACTTCTTCCTACAACGTTGGTGTAATAATAAGTCATTCTTCCAAAAGGTTGTACCCCAACCCTAAGGGCCCGTGTAATAATAAGTCATGACGAGTGACTTTGACGTTTTACCCTTTAATTGGTGAATATGGGCAGCCGGTTAGGCAATGATAAGTTAGTTAAACAGCATGGTAGGCAGGCAGGCTTGTCTAGAGGTTAAAGGGAGTTAGTTTACCTAACTTCATCTGTTTAGTGCAAGTGGACTTTGTAGTCAAAATACAGATTTTGCAAATAAAACTAAACTTGTGTATTATTCAAATGTACACTTTCATCACATCTTCATCTATAGCCTATAGGAACCACTAACTGTACTATCAATATAATGTTCTGAAAACTCTTAAACAAGTAAACAACTATTCTATAAACTACACACACAGCTAGCCAATGTACACTTGACCAACCAAACTAAAGCCCTCCTCAAACCAAAATTCACAACACGAGGAAAAGCGGCCAATTATAAAACAAAACTTATACTAACCCGTCGCCTATAAATCCCAGCCATCTCTCCGGTGTCTGAATTCTGATTTCCGGTTTGCTATGCTACCGTACATCTCCGAGAACTTTAGGAGGCAGTTGCTTCTGATGGCGTAATGGGCTTGCGTGTTCTGGCTGATTCCCGCGCCCGAGAGCTTTGACGTGTCGATTGCCCATGCTGGTTTCACGTACTCGACTGCCTTGGACGAGCTTGCATTTGCGTACAAGTAGTTCAGCAGCACGTCCTCGCAGTTGAAGAGCTCGTCCACGACTTCCCGCCCAGCGGCAGCGGCCTTGCTCCAGTACCTTCTGGAAGCCAGTTCGGTGTCGATGAAAGCTGCGCCCGTCAGAATCATGTTGTACCCGTCCTGCTCCCGAGCGTGTTCCTCAGCACGGTACTTCAGCGGGCTGCCATCGACGAGACGGGGGTAGAACCCCACGATCCTGTCCGGGTGCTCACGCCATATCCTGAACCCACGCTCCAAATCGTCACAACTCATCATAATGTCATCATCCAGCTCGAGAACACCTCGAGTCTTTATCAGTGGATCAGCCTTGAATCGATTGTTTAACGAGTTCTTTTCCTCTACTCTTACCCTCACGGGGACTGCAGACTCGAAATCACTCGACTCTGGGGGTTTTCCTTTGTTCCACACCACAACAATTTCCCGCACCGAAGAACATCTCGAATAATGTTTGATATACATTTTCAAATTCCACATTCGGGCTTCGTACGTCATGGTTAATAAGGTGAATTGGGAATAGTGACCACCGAGCGGGTAAGGCTCCTGAGCACCAGACCCTCCATAGATATAACTCGCCCCGATACACGTTAAAAACACTGCTACCGAGAATATTAAACCAAGAATAGAGCTCCCGCTACAGGTGTTCACTTTTATCCTCGCGTGTAGAGATGTGCTTGCACGGTTCAATCTGCTGCAAAACAGTCTCAGTTTCGAAGTGAACGAGTTCGGGTTTTCAGAAGCCAATAAAGCGTCACTTCTCTTTCCCACGTTATGGGGGCACCAACTTAAGGGCACGATACATCTCACAGCCCCGAGTAACATTCCCAACAACATAACAAGCCCCGCAACGCCTAGAACCGAACCACAACCAAGAACAAACCGGAGATTTGCATCTCCCGAAGGCACACGGTCTCCATCCATAACACCAATCCACTCGCCCGAGCTCAGTTGTTGCGCATCGAGGTGATGTGTGCGAGCGCCATTCCACGCATTTCGTCCCTTACTAGACTCTTTAAGCCCCAATGAAACTTCAACTTCTTTGAACTCATGAGCTGTAAGAACTTCGGTCCTAAAGAGACGAATCTGTCGCCCGTATGTTCCACCACAGTCTTGACCAGCACGATAAAGACTTCCATTATACATAAACGGTCTGCCTGCATTTCGAGCTCCCATGCTCTTATCCGTGTTATAAATAGGGTTTTTCTTATGTGGTCTCCAAGGACCAAACGGCGAGGTACTATACCAGATCTCTAGTTGTCCATTCTTCTGGGTGCCAATACCACTGTGATCCGAACCGAAAAGCCAGTACTTTCGATCGTGCAGTATTAAGAAAGAATCTACCATGGGCTTTTTCATTATGACTTTCTCGAGTTTCCACTGCAATGGAAAGTTTACAGCTCGATACACACGAAGGTCCCCCTTTGCACTCCCCTCGGGCATCATATATATCTGCAGAAAACGTGTATCTCAAATATTGAATAAATGACCCAACTAAAAAAATACTAACCGTTTTATGGATTTGAGATCTTACGTTGCCTTTGTAGTCAAAGACATATGGATAGGAAAGATGCCATGATTCATCCAAGGCGATGCCCAATTGCTCCCACGTTGCTCCCTTGTCAACGCTTCTCGCAACTCCAATGTCTCCTTGCATTGTGATTGAATTCTTAGTTTCAAAGAATAGGTACAGAACGTCTCCCTGAAATCGAGTGAGCAAAAATCAGGCTTTGGGAGAGATAAAAGGTAATCCGAGAACATAAATTACACTTGGAAAGGTTCATGATGTGCAACCAATACTTAGATTAGCAGGTAAGCTTCAGAGTGATAAAAGGAGAGGGCGAATAAACAGGGGAAAGGAATTTCGGGTTTCACTGTCATAACGATACTCAAACCTCGAGTTTCTAATAACACTACACGTCAGATTTCAATCTACCAATGAGCTATTGAGCTCCCGGGCAACGATTATTCTCTCGAAATATCAAAGCAATTTGTATCAACTCTTGAAAATTGTACTCTTTCTCATTGTCATATGCAGCCCATCAAATTGTACCGGTCCCCTCCTCTCAACACAGAATTGACCACACTAGTTGATGCATAATGAACAATGGGAATCTAGAAAAGCGAATAAAACTTGAAATCTCACCAAAACATAGACAAAG